TTACAATGATGTGTTTGTATAATTTGTGGCATACAGACATTTTATTATTGCGTTTGATTTATTTAATTTTCAAGTTAATTATTTTGCATAATTATTTCAGATGAATGACGTCTCAGCTTGTCGTTTGTTGGCTAACACGTGCGTTAGTAACTTTTACTCCTCAGATCCAGGGGGACCATGCAGACTATGGCTTCATCCGAATTTAGTCGGTCATAACTGTAAGCAAATCCAAACAAAACACAGTCCCTGAAAAATGAAATCCTTGTTTAAAGTAAATTTTGAACGCACCTTGGCGCGAAAACATAAGACGTAGGTTCGAATCCCGTAGCTCCGAAAGTTTTTGTTCATTTATCTATAAAAATTATAATGTAAATTTGTAACCAAGCGTGAGAGACACAATGTCTCCTATTGTAAAAGTCTAGACTCAAGTCCGAAATATTAAGTGTTATTGTTTATAAACATAATAAATAATGTAGACTATGAATTGCAGTTCTACCAATGCTTACTGCTAATAAGTCGAATTATGGAGAATCAGATGAAATATATCTGTCTCGTGGACAGGTAAACAAAAAAGAAATATAAGTTAGTTTCATGTTTCTGACAATGTATATACGAAATAATAATTATTTTTTGCAGATTACAATATTAATAACTGCAGTAAGTTACAACTCGAAGGGTAACTTTGATCATCTTACCGACCCTAGGAAGAGACCTTTCCTTTGCTTCCCCCCATTTAATATAACGGTTGGTGAAGATTACAAGTGAGTATTTTAAATACTTCCGATTTTAGATGTCTTAATACGATGAACAGTAGAAAGAGCTATGACTCGCAAAGAAGTTTACACAGTAATATGTACTGTGTGGTTTCAGTTTGCAATGTCGTAATTGTTTTCAGAGAAGATTGCGTGGCAAGCCTTTCAGGACTACCTAAAACTCTTAACAATGACCTTCTAGCATTATATGTTGCTTCTGCAGAAAACATGAAGCCTATGTCAATATTATTACGAAAACCGAATAATCATTATGTTCAGGTAAGTAAAACGAATTTATAAGAGAAAGAGGTTAAGATAAAGGTAAAACTTAGAGGTTAATAAAAAGTGTGCTTTAAAATTTAAAAGCGTTGTCGTTGAACTCATAAAGCGAAAGTTTGACTACTTACGAGTACGTAATAATAATACTACTCTAAATACTGTAAAAACTACTAAAAAGGTTAAATCTGTTTTCGTATATAAATATCTGAAGTATGAAAATATAGTTCCCAAAACCATAATGTTGCTGAACAAACAATCTTAAGCGAATAAGTTCACAGTAACTATTGACTAAATATTTTTTTAGAGAATCTTCATAAATATTTTATATTTTTGGATTATTTTTAGAAAGGAATGTGGCCTACTAACAAATTTACGAAATATTTTCTGTTTCGTCATACACTCTCGCCTACATCGAATATGACTAATTTGTTATATCTGCGCACTTTCTTGATAAATCTTCGGTAAGCATACTAATTATTTAAGTACAGAGGTTACAGGATGCAGCATTAATTTTAATATAGCAGGTATTGGAGAAATGCCCTTGAACTGAAATCGAATCTTCATTTTATGTTAAACACATGTCAGTGTAAACCTAAGTGGGGTACTTACTTTGATTATATAATAGATTATATAATACAAGTTTGATTAAATACTTGTTAAGTGTATAATCAAAGGTGGTGTATTCAATTACATTCATAGATTCTACCTATGAGTTAGTTGCTTAAACATTATCATGTTTAGTTTGCTGTCAAATGTTTTTCATAAACTGTTTATTCTTGTAAATAATCTTTCGCTTTTAAACTCAGGATTGAACGGAAGAAGCAAAGTTCTGGTTCTTTGAAAATATCTATAGGTTTCGAAGCGCAATACGCCCTCAAAGCTCCAACTTCCGATGCATTTGTAACTTCATTGAGGATCGAACATGACTTACCCAACGCTGGGGTTCATCGTGGGCTAGAGGTATTATGAAACTATTATATGTTTCATTATTTAATGCAATAATAGTTTCCGATAGTATTTTTAACCTATTATTTAAACAACATTATCTAAAAGACTTTCTTATTGTTCACATACATACATAAGAACTAATGTGCAAAATTTTATTCTTCTTTCGTGGAATCTAAATTTAAATACACAACGAAAAAATATGTACTTAATGTTTTTCTATTTCGAACCAATTTTCTTATTTTGTTTTTATTGCTATTGACGAGCCCAAGTGTCATCAATGTTTTTTTTTAAATAATCCATTTCGTATTTTAATAATGGTCTCAGATAATCGATGAACCAACGTATAATAGTGGAAAAAGAAAATGTTTGAAAGTTCATATATAATTTGGGGACTTTTTCATAAATATAAGTGGCCAGAACAATCATAATATTTGTTTTTGGAAAAAATGTCTTTGGATTAGCCATAACACCTTTGAAATTAATCTTGTTCTGCGCGTGTATGAATAATGTAAATTTGACACTTGTTTTTTTATTAAAAAGTGGCAACGCATCTGCAAACCTCCGTAGGTTTGCAGATGTTAATGAACATGGGCGGCGTTTATCACACATCAGGTAAATCGCTTCTCGTTCGTTTACCTACTCACAAAAAAAAAGTGAATCTCCAATTTAGATCCGTTCTTTTCCTTGAACAAAGAAATATTGAATGTTTAATGGATTAAGTGCGGACGATTACTGTGTACGGTGATACTTAGTGCATTATATCTGTCCAATATATTCGCATTTAACGGTCGTAACCCATTTATTATGTACATTTTTTTACAGTAGACATGTTTCAGATCTGGGGCAGTATTCTTAGTATTCTGATGGCGTTCTATGCAATTGTACAATGGCGTGGAGCGATACGTCGTGGTGGTCTTCAAATGTCGATCCTCCCATTAATGGCTGGGTGTATAGCTGACGCCCTTTACTTCGTACGTGGCTCTTGTATCTTTTTTTTTTTCTGATTATTATATAATTTCCTCATCATGATTATATATATAGGACTGTAGTATGAAATAATTTGCCATTTTTCTTAAATAAAGTTATACAAATTTTAACGATAACACGAAATCATGTTATTACCATCGCAAACCTTTTATTTTTTAAACTATAAACGCGTGTTTAAGACCTTTTACCTGAATGAATAATCTCGATTTGTTTTATTTTCAGGCAACGTGGTGCTCATTAGTTCACGCATTGGCTGCGGAAGCTGGAGACCTTGCATTAACGTTGCCATTATCACGTTCGGAAGAACATCTGATAGAAGCAATGATTTACGCAGTTGTTATATTAAAGGTATTCTTCGATGACTGAACTAAAGAAGCTTGCAAGATTAAGTATCGCCTTTGCCCTCGCTCAACAAAGAACCTTTTATTTTGTACGAATGTTTAAGAAATATATGAGAAAGCTTAAGCGGATCCCGAAATATGAAATGTTTGATCTGTTGTTGTGTTTAATCGAGCTCTACAACTTGACAAGCGATGTGCTCGCGGATTGATTGCAAATGAAAGTCAAGTATTTTTGACGTTGATAAATAAATATAAAAGCAAATATTTAATGACCACTGAGTCACAACTCCATGATACATCGGAAGTTCCCAGCGAGAACGTTCGCCTAAAGAAGCTTCTAAAATTTGATTGTCTTTGGCTTAGACACGATGGTCATTTGACTAATTAAATACGCGGTAGAGTGGTCTTTACCACTCACCGTATTTGTTCTTCAGTATTTAGTAAAAAAACAAAACTTTTTATAATCTTCAGGTAATGAAAGCTGCGTACATAAATTGGATTTTATGCCGTTGTGATATGTTTTTGATTGAGTGGTCAGAATATTACCCTTGTCAAACAGGTGATTTTTTATGATTCTAACAATTTTACTTTAATTTAATTAAGTACCTATTTTAAAACACGCTATAGATTCAAATTAAATGGCTCTTAAATTTGGAATACGTACACTGACCTTAAAGGATAGATTTTTTAAAGTAATATTTTTTAATATACAGGGGGTGCTATTATTGGTTGAAATTAATATGAAAATTTTGTTGCCTGTGTTTGATGATAAGAAAACGAAAATCATAAAAACAAGGATACTGATAGGGAATATATTTACATACTATGTTTAAATTTTACAGATACACAGATAGACGGCAAGTCAAACAGTAAGAAAAGAGCGATTTTGGCAAGAGAATGGGCGTCAATGCAAACAAAAAGGAGAACGTCACCTGTAGCCACAGTTATTCTGACTCTTCTCGCCTTACACGTATGCACTTCTCTAATTTGCTGGTACCCTTATTATATTTATTTAACTTTAACAATAAAGGAAACTTTAGTCCACAAGATTAAGATTAACTAATTAGAACTGAGAACAAACCGTCATATTGTGGTAGAGCCACCCAGTTTTTTTTGGTATCGGGGGGGAAATCTTCAAAAGATACCCTCTAACCGGAGCCCCTATGTTTTAGAGGTATACAAGTAACGAAAAAAAGCGTACCCGTATGTATTCGTTACTATAACAATTAGTACTCGTTACTATAGTATCGTTACGTTACTCGTTACTTTTGATACCTCATAATGCTATGTTAGATATTTTAGACAATATTTGATAATTAACAGCTTTTGTTAACCAAGAAACAATTAAATCACATTAGAATGGCTTTACTACAATATCTCTTTTAGGATAAGTTCGCCGTTTTTTAATTCCCCGAATAAGCCCGCGCATGGGTTAAACATACGATCAGCAAATGATTCATTCAATACACACATCAACGGTATCGCGTGAACTGAAACGGTGTAGGTACCCATACTACGAAAGATACAAGTAATGAAATGTATTTGTGTGTAACGTTTCGTTACTCGGTACTAGATGGCGCACCCGTTACTCAGTACCGAATATATACGGTTCGTTACGGCTCTACTATGACTACTCTATTTTCTACTATATTTAGTCGTTGGTAACGCAGGTGCCACATGTCAGATGTTGTAGATGCCCATGGGCAGCGATAGTCAACATAAGGTAAATCTCCTGCTCAATGAAAGATATGTTCATTTAACCATGTATAGTATTCGCGTTAAAAAAGGAAACTAGTAGTAAACGTGATAATAATCTCACAATTGAGGATCTAATATCCAAGCGACGATTAAAGGTATTGATTGGTATAGAAAAGTTATAAATCTTTAACACGAAAATAAAAAAGATTAAACATATTTGGATTGCACTTACAATTTGTAAAACAACAAATTAAAATGTAATGCAGAAGTTATTATAATATGTCTCGATGCTGAAATGGTTATGAATTATGTTTTGTAATTTTATAATATTTTAAACATTTCTTTTTTAAATTGAGTAAACTCAGGTACTTATTTGGTCATCAGTTAATGGATCCATGGCAAGGAGCTTTGCCCAAAAGTCGAGGATATAAGTGGGCTATCTCTATCTTGGCTTGGTGGTGTTCTTACGCAGTTGTCTTCGCGGGGCATTTGCTTAAAAGCAAACTTTTTGGTTGCCGCACGAGCATACTTCCAAAGATATGTATCGCTACGGAAATCTCCTTGCTAGTGTTTCAAGAGGACCTCTACGCTCATTACGTACACGGACGGTGAGTAAATACTAACATAAAAACTACCTAAGTCACCTCTCACTTGAATGAGTTATGTGGGACTCGTATCCACTAAAACGCCCCCGTTAGCCACCTTTTGTACCTGTACGTTTGGAGGGACTACGGGATCTCCTGCGGAATGCACCGGTGTCCCTTGTTACTGCGCTTGAGCACGCCTCGGAGAAGGACGAATCTTCCACGATACCCTCACCATTTTGCTTAGACTAGCAATAGAGCTTCGCACTATGAACTATTATAACCGGCCCTACCATAGTTATTTCAGAACGTAGGTCGGGGAAAAACCTCTCATAACAACGTATTTTACTTCTACAATCATACATCTAGGTGAAAAATAGTTTTAAGAAAGTGTTTGTTGATGACGGCCACGCTGCTTCACCTGGAATATAAAATAATTATAATTAGTTTGTGTAAACATTTGATTTTATTTAGCATCAAAATTACTATTGTCATATATAATTACTTACCTTTAAGTTAACTACTTACCTTTTGTCACCTTTATGTATTTGTTCTTGAATTTAAATTAATAAAATGGCGTATACATACGAGGACGGTGATTTGTATTTCGCGCGCTTAGGGTTTATTATATTTTAAAAATAAGTGGAAGGTAGCTGTACTTTGTTGCACAGCCGTTGAATTTGACCGTTGACGCGAGCCTAGTCAGTTGCACTTAGACATCATACGGAGACGCTCATATGTCACTCTCCTCGCGGATGTATACGCGCTCACCGAATTTCTGCTTTCTGATTTGCCACTTGACGACACCAGCGACCTACCTCGCCCACATCGTGGTCCTTCGGCCGAATCATCACGTCGTCGACAAGCAAACCGGTAACAGAAATGTTTCATACGCCTGTTACGCCACGCAAGAAGAAGCGAACACGTGGCGGCGTTACGAGATCGGAGTGTAAAAGGAACGAGCAGGATGTTTTTCCTTCATGTAGTTTGAAGGATGATGAGCCTGAAAGGACTGTAAAAGACCCAAGTGCTTGTAGCATAAGCAAAAAGTCTCTGAAAACCTCATGTACGTCGTCAACCGCACGTAAACGGCAGTTGGAGTTGGAGGCTGCTAAAGCTAAGGCCGCTGTTGATATGGAACTAGCTGAAGCTGAAGCGGAAGCCAAGATTAATGCTGCGAAGATTAAGGCAAATATTAAGTCCGAGCTGCTCAACAAAAAGCTAGCAGCCGAGATGGCAGAGTTAGAGTCTACATCACACCGTTCCAGTAAGTCTGCTTCTCAATCTACTAACAGCAAAGTAGAAGACTGGCTCGATAATACAGTGGGCCAGCAAGTGGAGCATCAAGAAGATTGCTGTCGTGACAGATCCAGCATTGAAAAGCTGGCAAATGCCCTACGTGATGCAGTGACCACCTCATCATATAAAGCGCAGAACCAAGAGCTTTTAACCAGGCTAGCAACCTCTAAAGACTTACCTTCATTTTTTGGCGATCCAATGGAGTGGTTACATTTTAAACAGGCATACATAGAATCTACAAAGCTGTGTAAATACAGTGATACAGAAAATGTATGGCGATTACGCAAGTGTCTTCGTGGCGAAGCCAAAGAAGCAGTGACATCCCTTTTGATTGGTCAAACGTCACCTGATTTGATAATTGACACTTTGGAACTTCGATTTGGCAAACCTGAAACTATCATGAGTAAAATAGTTCTACAGCTAAAAAAGTTATACCCGTTACCATTATCTTACCACAATGAAATAATAAATTTTTCAATTCAAATAAAAAATTATGTGACAGCTGCAAAAGCTATACAGCAGAACGATTATCTTCGTAGCCCAGAATTGGTGTCTATTGTGGTCTCAAAGTTTCCAACTTTACTTGTCACGAAGTGGACGGATTATATTTATGAACGCCGAGAGAGTAATCTACCGAAATTGGAATTATTGAGTACATTTTTATATGAAGAAGCCACTAAGATAGCTACATCAGGAGTGAGCCATATTAATACTCAACACAACTTCAAAAAGAAGTTCGATGAACGTAAACAACACTCACCCGTATTGCTATATACAAATAATCAATGTGAGAATAATATGAAGTGTAAATTTTGCCGCAGAGGTGTACATAGTCTATCAGACTGTATTCGGTTTAAACGCGCCCTACGCAAAGACCGGTGGCGATTCGCACGCATAAATAAACTGTGTTACAAGTGCCTTGAACCGCGACATACGAATTTAGCAGCTTGCCGTGGCACTATTTGTGAGATAGAGGGCTGTAATCAACCCCATCATCGTTTGCTGCACTGGAGTAAGCCACAAAATGAAAAACCCGAAACTGAGAATGAAGAGGAGGATGAGCATCCCAACCCTGAAACAGTGACTCATATGGTGGCATCCCACTGTCACAAGGTGCTTTTGAAAGCGGTGCCGCTCACTCTTCACGGGCCCAACGGAAGTTTGCATACGCATGCCATACTGGACGATGGAGCGACCGTGACCTTGATATCAGCTGACATCGCAGACGAGCTAGGATTGCAGGGCGAGAACGTTATTATGCGCGCTCGCAGTGCATGGGACTCAGGCGAGCTAGTGTGTGAGTCACAAGTAATAAGTGTTAGTGTCTCTAATTGCTATAACGAAAAGTTTAGTTTCCGTGCGCGTAAAATAAATGAATTAAATTTGCCCGTGCAAAAGGTGCCAAACATAGATTTAAGTGCTTACGGACAGCTAAGTGTAGATTTTAAGTTTTGCAATTGTAATACGCAGCCAAAATTGTTAATTGGTCAAGATAATCATCATTTAATTACTCCTGTCCGCTACTTCCGAGGTAAGCGGCGTGAGCCGTACATAACACAAACGGCGCTCGGATGGTGTATACACGGAAACATGGTAAGTGATACTACTTGCACTGATCGCTTTGTCTCTTTTTCTCCTGATTGCACTGATAATGATTACGTAGGATCTACGCAGTCGGTGTTTCATTTACACACGGTAGAAACAATATCTTGCCGTCCTTGTCTCGAGAACACTAGTGGTGACCGTACCTGTGCGCAGTTGCACGATGCGGTGCGTAGGTCATTTGCGTTAGAGTCTATTGGTGTAGGTTCGAAGCCGCGGCGTAATCCCGATGATATAAGAGCTATTAACATTTTAGATAATACTGCGGAATTAATTAATGGTCAGTGGTATGTCGGTTTGCCGTGGAAATCCGATAATTTTAAAATGCCTGATTCCTATCCTAACGCCTTTTACCGATTAAGGTCAATCGAAAGAAAAATGTTGAACAATAAGGAGCACGCGTCACGATATCGTGAGAGGATGAAATATTTATTTTCAAGTGGATACGCTAGGGAGCTACTAGATAGTGATGAGTTCCATAATGAACATGTATGGTATTTGCCGCACTTTGGTGTTGATAACCCAAACAAAAAGAAGTTGCGTTTGGTTTATGATGCGGCAGCGAAGTCTGAAGGATATTCATTAAATGATTTTCTTCTGCAAGGACCTGATTTGTTGCAGTCATTGTTAGGAATAATGTTAAGATTTAGAGAAAACCCTGTTGGTATTATTGGTGATATACAAGACATGTTTTTGAGAATAAAAATACGAGAGCAGGATATTAATTCTTTACGTTTTTTATGGAAAGATATTTACTTATTAGACGAAAATCAATCTAATTTTACCAGTGATCCCAAAATGTCTTCCTCGCATATTGTTTATCCAATTAAAAAGTATGTTATGACTTCGTTAATTTTTGGTGCAAATTGTTCACCATTTATTGCGCAATACATAAATCAAAATAAAAATACTTTGCGGTTCGAAACAGTAATGTCTGATGCAGTTAATGCTATACGAAAAAATCAGTATATGGACGATTTCATTGACAGTTTACCGGACATCGCCACCGCCTCAAAAATGATAAGAGAAGTTTCTTATATTAACCTCCAGGGTGGGTTCGTAATGCGTAATTGGTTAAGTAACAAATCGGAAGTCCTTAACAATATGCCAAAAGAGACTTTAAGCGATATGGCAATAAGATTTAATATCGAGTCTCAATGCGAGCGTACACTAGGGCTCTTATGGTTTCCTGCTGAGGACTCTTTTGGATTCGATCTGTCATTGAACCGCATACCAAGTGATGTGTTAAACCTAATACGAAAACCAACCAAACGTGAAGTTCTTCGTATCGTAATGTCTATTTATGATATACATGGCTTTTTAGGACCTTTTATGATAAAATCAAAAATTTTATTACATGATATATGGAAAATAGGGATGAAATGGGATCAAGAAATTACTGATGATTTATTTTATTATTTAAAAAATGGATAGCGCAGTTGAAAACAATGTCTAGTATTCGTATTCAACGCTGGTATTTTCAACACAACGTTGCAGGCGGGACCGAGCAAAATGGTACGCCGGCTGTAAGCAAAAGTGAGACAACGTTACAATTACATGTTTTCTGCGACGCATCTTCGTGCGCTTACGCATCTGTTGCCTACTGGCGTAAACAACACGGTGACAAGGTACAAGTATCTTTTATAGCGAGTAAAAATCGTGTTGCGCCGCTTAAACCGATAACCGTCCCTAAACTGGAGCTTCAAGGTGCGTTATTAGCTTGTAGGTTAGCAGAGACTATACAAAAGGAACATCGAATTAAACCTTCATCAGTATTTTATTGGACGGATTCTATGATTGTTCTGCATTGGATTAGAAATGAGTATAGAAAATATAAAGTTTTATTTCTAACAGGCTAGGTGAAATCGATGAATTAAGTAAAATTAATGAATGGCATTACGTACCGACTAATTTAAACATAGCCGACTTAGCTACAAAAAATAATACTTACGATTTCCAAAAGGACTTATCTTGGTTTACGGGTCCGTCTTTTCTGTCTAAAGCGGAAACATACTGGCCACGAGAACCTGAAAAAGAAGAAAAAATTAATAAGGAAATTTTAGAAAAAAAATATTTACAATAACAATGCCGTCAAAAGATAATATATATATTTGTAAGTTACCTGTCCCTGATCCAGACCGCTTCTCGGTGTGGCTTCGGTTAGTTCGCAGCACCGCTGCTGTGCTATTGTTTATAGAAAAATGTAGACGGAGTAATACTCGGTGCATTAATGAATCGTTAATGAAAAAGGCCGAAGTTCTTTTGCTGCGTTACTCTCAGTCACAATCATTTCAGACTGAAATCGATTTGTTGAAACAGAAAAAAGAAATAAATAGGGATAGCCGCTTACGTTCGTTAACTCCGTTTTTAGACAGCGACGGGCTGTTACGAGTCGGTGGTCGGATAAATGCTGTAAAATATGTTAATGAAAGTATGAAATGCCCCGTGATTTTGGATGGTCGGCGACGCATAGCCAGGCTAATAGTAAAAGACTATCACGTACGCGCTGCGCATTCCTATAACGAACTTGTAATAAACGAGTTGCGCCAAAAATACTGGCTTGTGAATTTAAGGCCTACTGTTCGTTCCGTAGCATCTCAGTGCCTCATTTGTCGAATAAGAAAAGCAACGCCGAAACCACCCCGCCTAGGTGACTTACCTGCTGAAAGATTGGTACATCATCAAAGACCTTTCACAATTTGTGGAGTAGATTTGTTTGGACCTATGAATGTCACGGTGGGCCGGCAGAGACCCAAAAGATATGGTGTGCTTTTTACGTGTCTAACCATACCTGTTGATGACGGCCACGCTGCTTCACCTGGAATATAAAATAATTATAATTAGTTTGTGTAAACATTTGATTTTATTTAGCATCAAAATTACTATTGTCATATATAATTACTTACCTTTAAGTTAACTACTTACCTTTTGTCACCTTTATGTATTTGTTCTTGAATTTAAATTAATAAAATGGCGTATACATACGAGGACGGTGATTTGTATTTCGCGCGCTTAGGGTTTATTATATTTTAAAAATAAGTGGAAGGTAGCTGTACTTTGTTGCACAGCCGTTGAATTTGACCGTTGACGCGAGCCTAGTCAGTTGCACTTAGACATCATACGGGGACGCTCATATGTCACTCTCCTCGCGGATGTATACGCGCTCACCGAATTTCTGCTTTCTGATTTGCCACTTGACGACACCAGCGACCTACCTCGCCCACATCGTGGTCCTTCGGCCGAATCATCACGTCGTCGACAAGCAAACCGGTAACAGAAATGTTTCATACGCCTGTTACGCCACGCAAGAAGAAGCGAACACGTGGCGGCGTTACGAGATCGGAGTGTAAAAGGAACGAGCAGGATGTTTTTCCTTCATGTAGTTTGAAGGATGATGAGCCTGAAAGGACTGTAAAAGACCCAAGTGCTTGTAGCATAAGCAAAAAGTCTCTGAAAACCTCATGTACGTCGTCAACCGCACGTAAACGGCAGTTGGAGTTGGAGGCTGCTAAAGCTAAGGCCGCTGTTGATATGGAACTAGCTGAAGCTGAAGCGGAAGCCAAGATTAATGCTGCGAAGATTAAGGCAAATATTAAGTCCGAGCTGCTCAACAAAAAGCTAGCAGCCGAGATGGCAGAGTTAGAGTCTACATCACACCGTTCCAGTAAGTCTGCTTCTCAATCTACTAACAGCAAAGTAGAAGACTGGCTCGATAATACAGTGGGCCAGCAAGTGGAGCATCAAGAAGATTGCTGTCGTGACAGATCCAGCATTGAAAAGCTGGCAAATGCCCTACGTGATGCAGTGACCACCTCATCATATAAAGCGCAGAACCAAGAGCTTTTAACCAGGCTAGCAACCTCTAAAGACTTACCTTCATTTTTTGGCGATCCAATGGAGTGGTTACATTTTAAACAGGCATACATAGAATCTACAAAGCTGTGTAAATACAGTGATACAGAAAATGTATGGCGATTACGCAAGTGTCTTCGTGGCGAAGCCAAAGAAGCAGTGACATCCCTTTTGATTGGTCAAACGTCACCTGATTTGATAATTGACACTTTGGAACTTCGATTTGGCAAACCTGAAACTATCATGAGTAAAATAGTTCTACAGCTAAAAAAGTTATACCCGTTACCATTATCTTACCACAATGAAATAATAAATTTTTCAATTAAAATAAAAAATTATGTGACAGCTGCAAAAGCTATACAGCAGAACGATTATCTTCGTAGCCCAGAATTGGTGTCTATTGTGGTCTCAAAGTTTCCAACTTTACTTGTCACGAAGTGGACGGATTATATTTATGAACGCCGAGAGAGTAATCTACCGAAATTGGAATTATTGAGTACATTTTTATATGAAGAAGCCACTAAGATAGCTACATCAGGAGTGAGCCATATTAATACTCAACACAACTTCAAAAAGAAGTTCGATGAACGTAAACAACACTCACCCGTATTGCTATATACAAATAATCAATGTGAGAATAATATGAAGTGTAAATTTTGCCGCAGAGGTGTACATAGTCTATCAGACTGTATTCGGTTTAAACGCGCCCTACGCAAAGACCGGTGGCGATTCGCACGCATAAATAAACTGTGTTACAAGTGCCTTGAACCGCGACATACGAATTTAGCAGCTTGCCGTGGCACTATTTGTGAGATAGAGGGCTGTAATCAACCCCATCATCGTTTGCTGCACTGGAGTAAGCCACAAAATGAAAAACCCGAAACTGAGAATGAAGAGGAGGATGAGCATCCCAACCCTGAAACAGTGACTCATATGGTGGCATCCCACTGTCACAAGGTGCTTTTGAAAGCGGTGCCGCTCACTCTTCACGGGCCCAACGGAAGTTTGCATACGCATGCCATACTGGACGATGGAGCGACCGTGACCTTGATATCAGCTGACATCGCAGACGAGCTAGGATTGCAGGGCGAGAACGTTATTATGCGCGCTCGCAGTGCATGGGACTCAGGCGAGCTAGTGTGTGAGTCACAAGTAATAAGTGTTAGTGTCTCTAATTGCTATAACGAAAAGTTTAGTTTCCGTGCGCGTAAAATAAATGAATTAAATTTGCCCGTGCAAAAGGTGCCAAACATAGATTTAAGTGCTTACGGACAGCTAAGTGTAGATTTTAAGTTTTGCAATTGTAATACGCAGCCAAAATTGTTAATTGGTCAAGATAATCATCATTTAATTACTCCTGTCCGCTACTTCCGAGGTAAGCGGCGTGAGCCGTACATAACACAAACGGCGCTCGGATGGTGTATACACGGAAACATGGTAAGTGATACTACTTGCACTGATCGCTTTGTCTCTTTTTCTCCTGATTGCACTGATAATGATTACGTAGGATCTACGCAGTCGGTGTTTCATTTACACACGGTAGAAACAATATCTTGCCGTCCTTGTCTCGAGAACACTAGTGGTGACCGTACCTGTGCGCAGTTGCACGATGCGGTGCGTAGGTCATTTGCGTTAGAGTCTATTGGTGTAGGTTCGAAGCCGCGGCGTAATCCCGATGATATAAGAGCTATTAACATTTTAGATAATACTGCGGAATTAATTAATGGTCAGTGGTATGTCGGTTTGCCGTGGAAATCCGATAATTTTAAAATGCCTGATTCCTATCCTAACGCCTTTTACCGATTAAGGTCAATCGAAAGAAAAATGTTGAACAATAAGGAGCACGCGTCACGATATCGTGAGAGGATGAAATATTTATTTTCAAGTGGATACGCTAGGGAGCTACTAGATAGTGATGAGTTCCATAATGAACATGTATGGTATTTGCCGCACTTTGGTGTTGATAACCCAAACAAAAAGAAGTTGCGTTTGGTTTATGATGCGGCAGCGAAGTCTGAAGGATATTCATTAAATGATTTTCTTCTGCAAGGACCTGATTTGTTGCAGTCATTGTTAGGAATAATGTTAAGATTTAGAGAAAACCCTGTTGGTATTATTGGTGATATACAAGACATGTTTTTGAGAATAAAAATACGAGAGCAGGATATTAATTCTTTACGTTTTTTATGGAAAGATATTTACTTATTAGACGAAAATCAATCTAATTTTACCAGTGATCCCAAAATGTCTTCCTCGCATATTGTTTATCCAATTAAAAAGTATGTTATGACTTCGTTAATTTTTGGTGCAAATTGTTCACCATTTATTGCGCAATACATAAATCAAAATAAAAATACTTTGCGGTTCGAAACAGTAATGTCTGATGCAGTTAATGCTATACGAAAAAATCAGTATATGGACGATTTCATTGACAGTTTACCGGACATCGCCACCGCCTCAAAAATGATAAGAGAAGTTTCTTATATTAACCTCCAGGGTGGGTTCGTAATGCGTAATTGGTTAAGTAACAAATCGGAAGTCCTTAACAATATGCCAAAAGAGACTTTAAGCGATATGGCAATAAGATTTAATATCGAGTCTCAATGCGAGCGTACACTAGGGCTCTTATGGTTTCCTGCTGAGGACTCTTTTGGATTCGATCTGTCATTGAACCGCATACCAAGTGATGTGTTAAACCTAATACGAAAACCAACCAAACGTGAAGTTCTTCGTATCGTAATGTCTATTTATGATATACATGGCTTTTTAGGACCTTTTATGATAAAATCAAAAAAAAAATTTTATTACATGATATATGGAAAATAGGGATGAAATGGGATCAAGAAATTACTGATGATTTATTTTTATTATTTAAAAAATGGATAGCGCAGTTGAAAACAATGTCTAGTATTCGTATTCAACGCTGGTATTTTCAACACAACGTTGCAGGCGGGACCGAGCAAAATGGTACGCCGGCTGTAAGCAAAAGTGAGACAACGTTACAATTACATGTTTTCTGCGACGCATCTTCGTGCGCTTACGCATCTGTTGCCTACTGGCGTAAACAACACGGTGACAAGGTACAAGTATCTTTTATAGCGAGTAAAAATCGTGTTGCGCCGCTTAAACCGATAACCGTCCCTAAACTGGAGCTTCAAGGTGCGTTATTAGCTTGTAGGTTAGCAGAGACTATACAAAAGGAACATCGAATTAAACCTTCATCAGTATTTTATTGGACGGATTCTATGATTGTTCTGCATTGGATTAGAAATGAGTATAGAAAATATAAAGTTTATTTCTAACAGGCTAGGTGAAATCGATGAATTAAGTAAAATTAATGAATGGCATTACGTACCGACTAATTTAAACATAGCCGACTTAGCTACAAAAAATAATACTTACGATTTCCAAAAGGACTTATCTTGGTTTACGGGTCCGTCTTTTCTGTCTAAAGCGGAAACATACTGGCCACGAGAACCTGAAAAAGAAGAAAAAATTAATAAGGAAATTTTAGAAAAAATATTTACAATAACAATGCCGTCAAAAGATAATATATATATTTGTAAGTTACCTGTCCCTGATCCAGACCGCTTCTCGGTGTGGCTTCGGTTAGTTCGCAGCACCGCTGCTGTGCTATTGTTTATAGAAAAATGTAGACGGAGTAATACTCGGTGCATTAATGAATCGTTAATGAAAAAGGCCGAAGTTCTTTTGCTGCGTTACTCTCAGTCACAATCATTTCAGACTGAAATCGATTTGTTGAAACAGAAAAAAGAAATAAATAGGGATAGCCGCTTACGTTCGTTAACTCCGTTTTTAGACAGCGACGGGCTGTTACGAGTCGGTGGTCGGATAAATGCTGTAAAATATGTTAATGAAAGTATGAAATGCCCCGTGATTTTGGATGGTCGGCGACGCATAGCCAGGCTAATAGTAAAAGACTATCACGTACGCGCTGCGCATTCCTATAACGAACTTGTAATAAACGAGTTGCGCCAAAAATACTGGCTTGTGAATTTAAGGCCTACTGTTCGTTCCGTAGCATCTCAGTGCCTCATTTGTCGAATAAGAAAAGCAACGCCGAAACCACCCCGCCTAGGTGACTTACCTGCTGAAAGATTGGTACATCATCAAAGACCTTTCACAATTTGTGGAGTAGATTTGTTTGGACCTATGAATGTCACGGTGGGCCGGCAGAGACCCAAAAGATATGGTGTGCTTTTTACGTGTCTAACCATACGAGCCATACATATTGAAATAGTATCTACGTTAACAGCTGACTCTCTTATAATGGCGCTAAGGAGGATGGCTGCGCGCCGGGGTTGGCCTCACACAGTTTTGTCAGATAATGGAACCAACATGCGTGGAGCGGATTCTGAGCTCCAAAAATCTTTTGATGAGATCGATCAGCAGCTGGTTATTGCTGAGGCGTTGAACAGAGGAGTAACTTGGCAATTTATACCTCCAGCAAGCCCTCATATGGGTGGAGCATGGGAGCGCCTTATCAGAAGTGTGAAAGCAACTCTGAAAGTAATACTTAAAGAAAGATCCCCACAAGAGGAAGTTTTAGCCACACTCCTTACTGAAGTGGAGAACATAATTAATAGCCGCCCCCTCACACATGTTTCGGTGGACCCTCGGAGTCAAGAAGCGTTAACTCCGAATCATTTTTTGTTAGGATCGTCATCGAATTTACCTCGACCTGGAGTTTTCGATGATGGTGACTTATACCTCAGACGTCAATGGCGCATAGCTCAACGGCTAACGGATTTATTTTGGAGCAGATGGGTCAGAGAATTCTTGCCCGAGCTCATTCCTCGCCGAAAATGGAATAGGGAAGGTCAACAAATTAAGGTAGGAGATCTCGTTGTTGTGGTAGATCCGTCATTGTTTCGTAATTGCTGGCCAATAGGTATTGTTGAAAGGGTTTACCCAGGCTCGGACGGCAGGGTTAGAGTAGTAGATGTTAGAACTAGGTCAGGAGTGATAAAGCGATCAGCTGCACACGTGGCCTTACTCCGCGTTATTGATTCGTGTCGACAAACCGACACTGGGGGGGAGGATGTTGATGACGGCCACGCTGCTTCACCTGGAATATAAAATAATTATAATTAGTTTGTGTAAACATTTGATTTTATTTAGCATCAAAATTACTATTGTCATATATAATTACTTACCTTTAAGTTAACTACTTACCTTTTGTCACCTTTATGTATTTGTTCTTGAATTTAAATTAATAAAATGGCGTATACATACGAGGACGGTGATTTGTATTTCGCGCGCTTAGGGTTTATTATATTTTAAAAATAAGTGGAAGGTAGCTGTACTTTGTTGCACAGCCGTTGAATTTGACCGTTGACGCGAGCCTAGTCAGTTGCACTTAGACATCATACGGGGACGCTCATATGTCACTCTCCTCGCGGATGTATACGCGCTCACCGAATTTCTGCTTTCTGATTTGCCACTTGACGACACCAGCGACCTACCTCGCCCACAGTGTTATTCCGCAATCTATTCCTGTGAATAAACTATATACAAATTTATATACTCATGTTTATGCCAGCAACACTTCCTAAGCTTCTCGCCTTAATAATCTTCTTTGTTACCGTAGAAATGACGATGCTTCACAATCTAGATACTTGTCGGGTCCCCTGTCTACTTGTCGTGTGGCATGCTCCACTCAATTTAGGTAAGCTATTAGATTGACAAAATAATTACATTACGATTTTTTTTAATTTTTAAACAATTACTATTTTTAGGTCTATCATTAAGAAATTGATGGCAGCTGGACAGCGTACGTACATACTGTCTTACAGTTATACAAGCTGAGGGTCTTCACCTAAATGAAGTATGTCTTTTTCCAGATACTTTAGAAAAAAGCATCTCAAAGGAAGATTTAATATCGAGATTTTTAGCGGCCTTCTTTGAAAGAGTTGAGTATTTGAACGCGACTTCATTAAGTGTTTACAATTAATAACTGACTAGCAATAAAATAATCTTACAAACCTAGCCCACACGGCATGGTAACAAGAACGCTGGCTGGATGAAATCGGCCCCCTCGACCAGTCAAAAAAAATTTAAAGACTGAAATTCCTTTCAAAAATTTCATTTTGTGGGGATCACCACAATCAAAACATCCCTACAGCAAATCGCATAAATTCTTAGTCTATATAAAGAGATTCCTATTCACCGAACGCCTTCCTATTTACTGTTAGTTGTTACTATATAATTACTTAACTATATCACTCCCAAGGAAAATTAAATCTGACGTGACAATTCACTTATTATCACGAATAGTGCGACAGGGCTCTAAAATAGAAACCGGAGTACTACGGATTCAGAGAACTGTAGTCGTAATATGGTAATACGTTGTACATGTTCAGGACTTTCCAGTGTTAAAGTATTTATATATATTATATTAGGTATGTACCCAAAATATCTACATCATCTTGTATGGCATACCACTCTATTCTATTATCTAAATGACTATCAACAACTTGGAACAATACTTTCTGAACTCTGCACCAAAAAAACCTACTGGTTAATTTCAGTGGTTTAACATACAATAGGGTCATCCAAGACATCCTTGTTTACTCAGCATAGTAAGGGTCGATATTGTCAATTAACATTTCAACAGATACTATTCACTAATATCTCTCATAAAACTGAATCGCTGAATGTGTTGCTAAGCGCAAATCTCGAAAACAGCTGAACCGATTTCGCTAATTTTATTTATAATTAAAGTTTTTAGACTTTTTTTCAGGCAATTTTTAAAAAATTTTAAAATATGAATTTATGGCACAGGCACTAGATGGACTAAGCTGGGTGGCAAGTGAGCGAACAGTTTTGGAAAAACTTTTAGACATCGAAACTTTAGTTCGAGAAGGTGGCAACACCAGCATTCTTCTCTACGACGCAGACAGCTCGAAGCCTTCTTGTTTTACAGTAACGTGGTGCGCCGACTAAAATTTACTTTACTTCGCCAATTGTTAAATAAAAGTGTATTTTCAACGGCTTAAAAAAATGTGCTAAATTTTCACTGTATACCAATATTACAGATAAGTTAGCATAAATCCAGAGTTTTGGTATTATTTGTTTTTTTTTTCTATTTTATGTAATTTTTACTTAGAATGAGATTTTTGACAGTTAATTATGATTAAAAAAATTTCATTTTAGGTGGAGCAATGAATGGACATTAGCCACATTGGACTCGATGATATTTGGGATTGTGATTTATGTTTCTAACGAACCAGTGTACGCTGCATTGGCTAATTTAATAGTATGGCAGGTAAAGTGAAACTGAAAGAAAGGTAGTTAAATCTTCAAACAACTGTACAAGACCAATAAAAATTAATAAACATTCTTGATTGTTTCAGATAACGAAATCTACGGTAGCATTGTGCGGAAATAAAAATATAAAGTGTAAAATGAACATTGAATCTTTTTAAATTTAATGTCTACTCAAAAATTCGTGTATGCAATCTTCATATTAGTTATGTTGGTTTGTTTTCTGAACGTTGATTTAATTTGCTGTGCAAAATGCCCTATCTCAAAACCTGTGGAAAATGACGGTAAAAGTGGAAATGGAAGACATATGCTTGCGGTTCAAATAACGAGGCAATTCAAAAGAGGAAATCTTATAAATATTAATAAAACGACAGAAAACCAATACAATTATTTCACAAATCAATCTTATCTTAATAACTACGACTATTTTATGCCAACGGAAAAATTAATCGAAGAGAATTATGACGAGCGCTCTAAAGAAATATTTATAAATACGCCTCCAATATTTGAAACGAGTACACATCGAACATCCGTGAATGACAATGTTGATAAGAAAAAAGGTCCTTTTTATGATTTCATAATAGGCATATGTCAAATCATAGTTAATGATTTCTCATCATCAAGAATTCCCAATTATTTTGATATACTAAGCAGTAGTTTAAGAAAACTAGGATCTGGTTTAATTTTAAGGAAATCAGTTCGAAGGTTTGCAAAAAAATTGGACAAACTATCTGCTCTGAACGGTAAAAGTTTAAAGCAGAAAGTGCAAAGATTTCGAATGATTCTCTCAAAGCATAATCCAAAAATGGAAGAATTTTTTACATTAATGAACTCTGTATATAGTATAAAACAGTGTAACGACATGGACGACTACCTTTATGATTTAAAGAGATATGCCGACAACAAAATACATCGTATTCGTCGTAAAACGAAATATGTATTTCAACGAATACTTGTACACGCATTTTATCGCCAGTCGGAGTCAATTAAGCAAGACATTAATTTTAATTTTCAATTAGCTTTGATAGAATACTTGGAAAAAAGTTGATTAATTTTGCAATCACAGTAACCATACTGAGTTGGCATACCTCAAAGTATCTCAACATTAATTTAAAAATGAAAGTTATAACAAAATATATTTGCGTGTCAGTTTTTGTAAGTGTTATAAATATGGTCTTTAGTATTCGAACAGCAGATAAAACAGATATCATAGGTTTGAATAATAAAAACGCAAAGGCTGATGGAATCTTTGTTGCGTTCTTAAGAAGCTTCTTGGACGTATTATCTACATTTTTTCCGAAAAGAAAATTGGTTGAATATTGTAAAGTGCTAAGTTCATGCTTAATGGAAATGGATTATGATTATACAAGGAAACTGTATAAGCATGTAAGGAAATTATCTAAAAAGTATGGGAGTGAAATAAAAGATGAAATACAATCTTATAACAGCGAACTTGATAAAGAGCTACCATATAGAAGCGATTTTCTTACAGCTATGAATGAACTCTTTACGTTAGGGGAACATATTCGATTCAAAGATTATATACATGACTTACGCGATTATGCCAATGAGGACAAACTGTTTATTGAGGACGAAACACGAAAAATTTTAAATGATGTCATAATAGGAAGTGTTCAGAAAATTAGTTCAAAAGACCAAAGAGATTTAAGAAAGAAATTAAAAAGGGCGGTTAAAGAATACAAAAAATATTCAGATTACAAAAAATAATTGTTTTTTTTCTTGTTAAATAAAACTATAATTTTTAAGTGTTTATTATTTAAAACCAGAATTTCTAGATGAATATGCAAACTATAAAGTTCTATGCTGAAAAATCAAAAAAGCTTGTTGGTTGAAAACCCATGAGCCTAGTTACTCCATGGAGTGTCCGCAAAGCGACCTAAGAGCTTGGCAGCCTCTCAAACCGATGATAATAATAATAGCGTAACGGCCCGAGCTGAGGTTCTCGAGCTTAGTCACCCATAATCGAGGTACAAGCGCCCATAACTTGACACGATGGCTCTTCAAATTGCAGTAAGAAGACAGTGAATCTGTTAAACATAGTGATTAAGTTCTTCACCGGACGTCAGATGAATTATTTGCGCGAAAAATTCCTAGAAAGATTTCAAGATTTTTTTGGGCGAAAGAGGGAGAGGGTAAGGATGACACTTAAATGCTGGAAATGGAAAATGGTTGTCTCATTTAGCATTTTTGACAGACATCACAATTCATTTAAACACCGTTAACTTGGAGCTTCAAGGTAAAGGAAAAAATGTTATTGAGATGATTGGCGCAATAAACGCATTCAAAAGTAAATTACAATTTTTGATAGATCAACTGAAAAGAATTCATGATTTCAGTAAATTTGAAAACACCGCATCTTTTATGAGTTCTTCTTTTTCATGTAAAAACATTGAGATTGCTATCGAAATAGCAAGTCATTGACATGGCATCTGAAACTAAATTCTGGTCTTCTCTATCTGCTCTCTAGTTGACGGCAATGTTTGGATCAAATTACTTGTGCGAGTCTGTCTGCATTGTCTGAAATGAAAATAATTGACAAACATATATCATCATTTTTTCAGCCTGTTTGAGTCCACTGCTGAACATAGGCCTCCCCCATAGACTGCCATGAAGTACAATCCTGACCCACCTGCATCCATCGACTTCCTGCACATTTGCACAGGTCGTCACTCCATCTAATGGGGGGTCGTCCTACACTGCGATGGCCAGTACGGGGCTGCCACTCGAGAACCTTTCTTCCCCAACGGTTATCGGTTCTACGAGCTATAAGGCCGGCCCATCGCCACTTCAGCTTGCTAATCCTCTGTCTAAGGACTAATAAACTCACTTTTATCACTCATTCAGAGTTTTTTGATTGACTTTTTAAAGCTGAGCTGCTTCTACCTTGACTAAAAAAATGCATATGGTAGAAAACTAATTCTTGTCGTCGTACTAAGAGCATTTACGGTAAAAAAAAGTAGTAACTAATTCATAAAAAAAACTATAGCACTTTGAGTACGTCGTTTTAATTTATTCTAAATACTTTTACCCTAAATAAAAGCTATTAAATTATTATTTTAGTTTATAGTAAACTAATTTGAATGAATCATGGGAAATGAGTACATAGACAATGTTTAATATATTAGCAACACCATTGTCATCGATAGGAACAAATGAAATACGGCAACGTCACGCACTCTTGAAGTGGAAAAGAGGCTATTCATTCGGCGTTTTGAATTTGTAATTTTAATATTTTACATTTAAATTGTTATAAAAATGTCAGACAATAAAAGGTAAGCTTTTAATCTTTTTAATTATTAATTCGAAATGAAAATATCTTTGTGTTTAATCCGATCACTTAAGTGCTGTAAGCCAATCTTCGAAATTTGGCTTGTCATCATGTCTAACATTACAATGGAATCGGAAGATTTTTGCGTGTGAATTTATGGGAAAATGCATTGCATTAAAAGATAATGTCTATAATATTTAATTTCTTCATACTGTTGGATCTATTGAAAGTGGCTTCTACATATATCACTTTGTAGTTATGTTGAAAATTAATTGTTTTTCGTAGCCCCGATGATTTATCCACCGCGATTCTCCGCCGCAAGGACAGGCCCAACCGTCTCATCGTGGAAGAGGCCGTCAGCGATGACAATTCTGTTGTAGCACTTTCACAGGTCAGATCTTCTTTGTCTAATTGGTATCTCTAAATGTACATAATTTAACACTTACCAGTGTCATGGTTCATTTCTTAAAACCATTTTTTGTAAGATATTTTTACTAGTTGCTTTGTACTTTATTAAAATATAATAACTTTATGTTCATATTTAACTTTGAAAAATTTTAATTGGACTTAGCAACTCAAATTGTGGTAATAACACTGTAAAAGTGACCAATGTTAATGTGGTCAAGATGATTTATTATTTTACTGTAGGTGTTGAGTTAAGCTACAACTTCCTTTATTACATGAATATATTAACTTGAACTGGGAAATACTACAGCTACACAGAAGACCTGTATTAATTATAAGTATTCATACTTTTTGTCCTATAAATACTGGAAGGAGAGGAAAAAAGGTACCTCACCTAAATGCTGTCAATTATTTATGTACAGAGACAGTCTTTACATGTATTAGGGATCCACTGTGTAACCTGAAAATGGATTGGTAGGTTTCACGTATATTTGAAACATTTTTTTATTATTATTTCCAGAGAATAGGTATATAGGATTCCTCATAATTTTTTCTTTCATTAATAGCAATTTCATGGGCCAATACTGCGATTTGAACTCAGTTTGTTTTAGTATACTTAAACTGACCATATGTCCCGTTTTGAACGGGACTGTCCCTTTTCTCAGATAGCTGTCCCTTTGTCCCCGAACAAATCTTCGGGACGCAAAATTGTCCCGTTTTGCGAAACCGCGCGAAATTTTAAAACCACGCTCGTCAGACATGATCATGAGCAGGGCGGGACCGCGATCGGTTATTCCCATTATTCCCCGCATGCACATGCTCTCGGTTACCTAGTGACGCGGTGTGGAGGAGAGGGAAGGGGGCTTTTCTTTCTTTCAATAGGCGAGCCACGCGCATGTATTCTAACTTCTTTATGTTTTTGTGTAATGTTCATTAAATATTTTTGTAGATAATTTGAAGCTTTGTTGTTTTAAAATTTTTCCTATAGTTATGCCGAAACGAAAGTGTTCATTTAATGTCAACCTACAAACAAAATACCCATTTGTTAAGCAAATTAAGACTCCTTCGGATGTCAGATGCGAAAAATGTCGCACAGTTTAGTGTTTCCCATAGTGGTACTAGTAACATTGAACAGCTCCAGTTCTGAAGGCAATGCTGATAACAAAGGTCAACATAAAAGAAATGTGCCAAATTTTATTCTTATTTAAAATCGTCACCTTCTTTATTAAAACAAATTTGTTCCTCTGAGAAGTATAAAAATATACCAATGTTGTTTTAATAAAAAATTGTAAAATTTTTTGTTTATTTTCATTGTAAATCAATGTCCCATTTAGAGTTAGAAAAAAAGTGATCAGTTTAAGTATACTGAATAGAGTGCTGAAGTTATACTCAATAATAATTGGTGACATTATTAATTATACATGGGTCAACTAGTTTAGTTATTAGGTTATTTAATTTATTTAACATTACACAAAAATATGATATTGAAGGTGGTTTTGTGTTAGATCAAAACTTAGTTGGTGCTTATAGTCTCACACATTGGTTATAAGAATGTTATGAAGTAAAATTGTCATTTTGAGATAGATTTTCTTTTACCATCACTTCAGTTGTGGCAATAACAACTTTTCACACTAATAAAAGATCTGTTATTATATATTGCTCAATTTAGTGTTTATGTATTCATAAGTATAAATAAAAAATTATAAGATATCAATGAAAATATATAATGTATACTTCTTTTAACACTTTTTATGTGGAACATTATTTTTATTTTACAGCCAAATATTTATTAATAATTTTAGATTATACTCTGATGAGTCACTCTGTCAGCCACTGATACTCAGTGAGAGAAGTTTATGTATTTTATAAGTAACAACAAAAATTATGTATTTGAGTAGATTTTTAAGTATCTCGTGAGTTGATGAATGTCTGTATATTTAAACAATTATATATACACATATACACCTAGAACTTGTTACTATTTTGTTATACAGACCAAGATGGAGCAACTGCAACTGTTTCGTGGTGATACCGTTCTCCTCAAGGGAAAACGCAGGAAGGAAACCGTATGCATTGTTCTCTCAGACGATAACTGTCCTGATGAGAAAATCCGCATGAATCGCGTTGTTCGTAACAATCTGCGTGTAAGGTTATCTGACGTTGTGTCAATCGCCCCATGTCCGTCTGTTAAATATGGCAAGAGAGTACACATCCTGCCAATTGATGACTCCGTTGAAGGCTTGACTGGGTAAGTAAAATTTAAACAAATATATTGTTTTTACCTGCAGAATTGTTGTTTAATATTTAGTTTACGAATTATTCTAATACATCTTTGTTTTGCATTAGTAACCTGTTCGAAGTTTACCTGAAACCCTACTTCATGGAGGCCTACCGGCCCATCCATCGGGACGATACGTTCATGGTGCGCGGTGGCATGCGAGCGGTCGAGTTCAAAGTCGTCGAAACGGACCCATCGCCGTACTGCATCGTCGCGCCGGACACCGTCATCCATTGCGACGGGGAGCCGATCAAGAGGGAGGTGCGTATCTCCTTTTCTTTTGTATGGGTAGGTGGTAAATGAGCAAGCGATTAAACTGATGTTATCTGACTACTACCGTCCATGGACGGTATCTGTAAAGGTGCAGATGTGTTGCCAACTTTCCAAAAAAATGGGCCGTAGTTTTCTAACTTACCAGACAAAATGCAAAAGAAAAACACTTCCACTTCACGTTGGTCTTCTGTGAGCCTGTTTTACTTTGGACGAGCCTACCCATCCGTGAAACAGCAGAAGTTCCTGTGTGGCCCTAGCTACCTCATACTTATAACCATTAAATTTTACATAAAGTATGTGTTTTTTTTTTGTAAATTATACGAATCTCGTTACAATTATAAACAGTTTAAAGGCGTGTTGGCATCGTAACTATGATACTCAGTATATTTAGTATTAAAAAAATCTTAAATTTCGCGGAAAGTTTACATTACAATGAAAGAACGACAACATGACGTCCACTCTCACGACCAGGATTCTAAGTAATTTATCACTCTTTATTTTTTATACTATGTTTGTGAATGTGTGTTTGAATAAACATGAAAACAACATGATGTACAAAACTTAGGCAATTATATAAACAGAACTGTGTGACTTAAAACTTTAAAACTTCCATGTTAAAGACATCTTGAAGGCAGTTTTATAAGATAAATTAATGTTGAACAACTCATAGGAGGAAGAGGAAGCTCTTAATGCTGTTGGATACGACGACATCGGCGGCTGTCGCAAGCAATTGGCCCAGATTAAGGAGATGGTGGAGTTGCCGCTCCGTCATCCGTCGCTGTTCAAGGCCATCGGTGTGAAACCACCGCGTGGCATCCTTATGTACGGCCCACCCGGCACAGGAAAGACCCTGATCGCTCGTGCTGTTGCTAACGAAACTGGTAAGTTTATTGTATTGAAAAGTAATCTGATTGCTATCATACCAATTTATTATTTTATTTCGTATTTGCAATATGTATACTTTGGGTATGGCTTCACTCATAGACGTCAATTAGTGACCTAACGTTAGTAACGTGAAAATTTCAGACTTACATAGTTAATGAATTATATTCATGTCATAATAATGTAAGACTGTAATTTCGCAAGTATTCAATGCCAGTTATGTTTTAAATGCAGCAGTTACACTCTTTTTTACACATAAAATGAGAAAATATTCTCAAACATTACATATGTATGTATGTATTCACTATATCTATTTGTTTACTCATCTCCATAGTTATTACATTTCACGTAATTTATATAATGTTACATTTTATACATTTTTTTATCTTAAAATAATAAAATTTATTGGTATATCATTTAGTCATGGTAAGGTTTCTTTGAATGGTAGTTATCATGTCGCTTTTTTTTTTTTCAAAAAAATAATATACACAATATATACACAATATTGCAAAAATACAATTGTTACAAACTTGTTGCAACCATGCAAAAGAGTATAAAATAATATGTATTTTACAACCTTCACCTTGACCTGATGTCATGAAAGATGGTGACACTAGTATGCGCTAACAGTATAATATTTTCGTAGGGGCATTCTTCTTCCTGATCAACGGTCCGGAGATCATGTCCAAGTTGGCGGGTGAGTCAGAGTCCAACTTGCGCAAGGCGTTCGAGGAGGCCGATAAGAACTCGCCGGCTATCATCTTCATCGACGAGCTGGACGCCATCGCTCCCAAGCGTGAGAAGACCCACGGCGAAGTGGAGCGTCGTATCGTCTCGCAGCTTTTAACACTCATGGACGGTAAGTTGTTTCTACGGTGGTAGGGCCACGCAGCAGCTTCGGCTGTTGCACGAATGGGCAGGCCCGTCCGGGTAAGTACCACGATCTCACAGAAGACCAGCGTAAAGTGGAAGCATGACAAATACTTTCGCGTTTCGTCTGGTGAGTGAGGTAGCCGGAGCCCAAAAAAGGTTTTCAAAAGGTTGTCAACGCATCTGTAACCCTCGGGTGTAGCAGATGTCCATGGGCGGCGGTATTCACTTAAAATCAGGTGACCCGTCTGCGCGTTTGGCAACTTTTGGTATAAAAATAAAAAAAAGAAGTCATGACTTAATCACGTTTATCAAGCAAACTCCCAGAACCGAGACATTTATCTGTGGGAGTTTCATTGATCTCTGCTGAGGTCTCTTTCTAAGTGATAATCATCTATTATCACTACTATTGTAGTTTATATTGATAAATTTTTAGTACCACTATATAATTCTCCATATTATTTGACCCAAAACAGTTCTGCTCGATATACCTGCCAACTGTGACTTCGTATATGTACAGATGCAAATAGAACCTGATGAAATGACGATGATGATGGTACACAATTTACATTAATGAACTTTGGACAAACTCAATAACGGATTTAATAACTGACATAATCAGATGTTTTTATTTAACGATAAATACGAATACCTTCCCCCATTTGGCAGGCATGAAGAAGTCGTCGCACGTGATCGTAATGGCGGCCACCAACCGGCCCAACTCGATCGACCCGGCGCTGCGTCGCTTCGGCCGTTTCGACCGCGAGATCGACATCGGCATCCCGGACGCCACCGGCCGCCTCGAGATCCTGCGCATCCACACCAAGAACATGAAGCTCGGAGACGACGTGGACCTGGAACAGGTGTGATGGCCCCCTTCATATACTATATTACCCTGTGTCGCTTAGGGCCAGGCACTGGTGGTACCTTAATTATTTCATTTACCACTAACAGGCTGAAATTCTCCCTTCAATTTACCACTAACAGCCTGAAATTCTTATGGATTTTTTTCTTTATCAACTGCTGAAAGAAAATAATGTTGGAACACTTCATCCTGTAAATATTTTAACAGATTTGAACATGTGGGTGTGACTGACATATGGTATTTTATTTCAATATGGTGTCAGAGAAAAAGAGAGGAACGATATATTTTGTACCGGAAACCTTCTCGCTTATTACATTTTATAATGCGCATTAGCAGTTACAGTGATCAGCAAATAACTTGAGCCAATATATGTGGAGCAAGGAATAGTTTGCTCATGTCTACACACGTGCGTAAAATAACGTTGGCTCGCGCGGCTAAAATTTCCCCCCGTACGCCTTCAGGGCGTCCCATAGACCTAAACATCGATATCTGCACAGATGAGTGCATTTTTGAGATGTTTTCCGGTCACTATACTTACCACTGAAAACTAAACAGAAACATTAGCCTTTTAATGCCAGAGTTTATTTGTTAATCAAAAAACACTTACATTACAATGTATCTCTTACTTTGTAAGGAAGGTTGCACATGATGCCGTCAATAGTGTCTCATATGTCTCTCCTTTATTAAGATTGCTGCGGAGTCTCACGGCCACGTTGGTGCGGATTTGGCTTCGCTCTGTTCGGAGGCGGCCCTCCAGCAAATCCGCGAGAAGATGGACCTCATCGATCTCGAGGATGACCAGATCGACGCCGAGGTGCTCAACTCGCTCGCCGTCTCCATGGACAACTTCCGTGTAAGTAACTTGAAATTGTGTATAGTTTATTGTAATTGAACCTAGTATTTCATTATCATCATTTATTGACTCTGATTTCCTACTTGCAATGGTTTAAAGTTAATATGTATGTAGTGGAAGTCCTCTGGCAATGTGAACCACATTAGTAGTATAATTTAATTTTGACCACGATGTGTCATTAAATTGTGATCCTATCCTTGGAATGTCAACACTGTACTTGTATGCATATGTAAATGGATGATTTAATGTATTGGATTGTTAATTGAATTAAAATTAAATTAGGGGGTTATTAAATGTTTGATTGAGTAAATATCTGAATGAATGCCCTTTTGTGTGTGATGGGATTTATTTCATGAAAGAAATAGTAAGGCATAACCCGCGTCAATATTCTAAATTTTGATTTGAAGAAAAAAAAAATGACGTCTTGGGGATTTCGTCAATACGACTATATATAAAAAAAAACATATATAACAATTCATTATTACTCATATCGCCATCTGTTCGTGTTCAGTACGCGATGACAAAGTCCTCGCCGTCGGCGCTCCGCGAGACTGTGGTCGAAGTGCCGAACGTGACGTGGTCCGACATCGGGGGGCTGCAGAGCGTCAAGCGCGAGCTGCAGGAGCTGGTGCAGTACCCGGTCGAGCACCCGGACAAATTCCTCAAGTTCGGTATGCAGCCGTCCCGCGGCGTGCTCTTCTACGGCCCGCCTGGTTGCGGTAAGTACACGAGACGATCAATATTCGCGGAGAATTTTCAGAACGATATTAACACTGCCAATGCTCTACAATGACAAGAAGCAGTTATTAGTAGCCCCAATTGACGTCTTCTACAACACCCATGGCATTGCTGTTGCGGTGTCTAAACTACTAAAAAGCAGTTATTATTAGCCCTCATTGACGTCTACAACAACCATGGCGTTATTGTTGCGTTGTCTAAACTTCTAAAATGCAATTATTAGTAGCCCCCATTGACGTCTACAACAACCATGGCGTTGTTATTGCGTTGTCAAAACTTCTAAAAAGCAGTTATTAGTAGCCCCCATTGACGTTTACAACACCCATGTTGCTTCTAGAGGTTGGACGCTGGTTACCTCACTGACCAGATGAAATGAAAATGTAAAAATAGTAATCATTTACTTCAGTCATAAGAATTGACATTGCCCTATTTGGCTTGCCCATCAGAGCAACAGCAGTAGCTGCTGCACCATGTTAAAAATATTTGATCTTGTCTCAAAACTGAGGGAGGGCTCTTAGCATCTGTCAGAACAAATGTTAAAGTTGAAATAATTTCAATCAAAATTTGTTTGAAGCTTTTATGAATTAACAATCTTATCAGCAACAAACTACAGTCAAAATGACAATTCAAATTATTTTATTTATCCAATACAAAATCCTTTATTGTTTTCATCAGGTAAAACTTTACTGGCCAAAGCTATTGCCAATGAGTGCCAGGCCAACTTCATCTCAGTGAAGGGACCAGAGCTGCTTACCATGTGGTTTGGTGAATCTGAAGCTAATGTGCGCGACATATTCGACAAGGTATTGTTATATTTTTCTTTTGAAAATTAAAGTGTGATCTGTGTGTATGAGGTGAAACTATTCATTGATTGTCTGTAACAATTAAATATTCATAATATAAGACATATTACGAATAAAGTAAATAAAGTAACAAGAATTATTTAAAAAAAAATATCTGGTTTCCTTTTTAACTTTACACCACAGTTTTGAATACAAGTCTTGTAACTCTGCATTTCGACGTGTATTCTTAATGCTCCAAGTCCCTTGTGTTACTACCATCCAGAGATACCCAGTGCAACAAATATGGACAGAGTCACGTAACTTAAATCCACATATTCTCAGTTCAATATAATCTTTCATTTTGAAAATGTCAAAGAAATCAACATGGAGTACATTACATGTTGTAGGATTTAAAATACCTGCTATAGAAATTCTGCTGAGTTGCAAGACCTATGTACATCAAACTGTGCATTTAGCCAATATCTTGTATGACATAGTAAGACTGGTATGTTTACTGTAATAAGCAAACTAGTAAGATATTTGAAAATAAACTAGTAACTTATTTGCCAAATGTTATGTCTATTAATAATGAATGTTTTAAAACACGAAATGGTTGTAGGGCATTATAGCCAACATTGGTGCATTCAAGAAATTAGCTCCTATTTTCATGTACTTTGTGAAACCAAAAAATTATTCAAAAAATTTGAATTATTAAAAACATACATTTAATGTATGTTTTTAATAATATTGATTATACCAAAATGTATCAGTTGTAACAATTCAATGATTTAAATTTCGTGATAAATGCTTATTATGTAATCATAAATAATTTAAATACATAAATTTTATTTGACAATGCTTTGACTTTCCTTAATTACTAGGTATCTATAACCGTATAGTGAAGTTGCGAGGTTTTATAATGTACTATTCGCCCACCAGGCTCGTTCGGCCTCGCCGTGCGTGCTGTTCTTCGACGAGCTGGACTCCATCGCCAAGTCGCGCGGTGGCTCCGTGTCTGACGCCGGCGGCGCGGCTGACAGGGTCATCAACCAGATCCTCACCGAGATGGACGGCATGGGCGCCAAGAAGAACGTCTTCATCATTGGTAAGTGTCATTTTTATATATTTATTCCATGTTGCGACAAACTTGTATCTATTTACGACCATCTACGAACGCTAAAATGTACTTTGTGGTCATGCTACTTTTACATACTTACACTTATATTTATGATGATGTTCCTTGAAAATGTTTATTCTGCAGTTGTACTCCTCTCGTCTTTAATAACCATAGTATTAAACACATGTTATTAGTAGCATAACAGCGGCCTTTAAGCAAAAGAACTCCTTGAAGGGTTGTCACATACATGACGCTTTAAATATCGTGATACTTTTTTACATTGGCCTTACTTTAGGATAACATAATCGTGTGCTGTAAGGATGATTTACAAACATAAATTTGACGCGGACAGACACACAGATGCGAAACAATCATCTGTAGGTCACACAAATAGTTGTTTCGTGTGGGAATCGAATCCACGACCCCCGACGCCGAAGCCAATACCTTGGCAACTACGCCACGGAGTTAAATGCTTATCAGCATTCTTTTGTGTAACAGAATCACAATGTCCCTTGCAGGTGCGACCAACCGTCCGGACATCATCGACCCGGCCATCCTCCGGCCCGGCCGTTTGGACCAGCTCATCTACATTCCGCTGCCCGACGAGAAATCGCGCGAGGCCATTCTTCGCTCCAACCTGCGCAAGTCGCCCATCGCCAAGGACGTCGACCTCTCCTACATCGCCAAGGTACCGCTGGCCAACTCTCCCCGAATTCTCGAGTGTTTACTAGTCAACTTAAAATGTGTAAGATAAATTATCGAAAAAACTTGCCTTCCGGGTAACTCGCTCAAACGCTATAACTACTAAGCGGTCGATATGCTCACCGCGAAAAAATCTCGACTATGTTGTTATTGCATTGCATTTATTATTGCCTTTTAACTCGATTAGCATTCGAAAGGACACCTTTAGGCGGTAACAATAGCGAGTAAAGGAAACATTACAATCAAGTGACGTTTCACATTCCCTTTTATTATTTGTCTTGAATGTGCCGGACCCACCGCCGGGGGTCCCGCCGGATAACACTACAGCCAGTTAGTGCAACAACAAACACACTAGTTCGCCCTCGCCTCCGAGCACGGCGAGACCAACACAACGCGTACACAAGGTACACCCGCGTTCCGGGGCGGTTCTCACCGCCCCCAGCCACCGATTAGCTAATTGCACAGTCGACGGCCATCGGGGTTTCGGTCCGACCGCGACCTCGATGGCCCTTAGATGACACGCCATAGTTAAATGCACGCATGAGCACATGCGTGGCCCTACCCACAGCGGAGGGCCCAAACCCGTGGGTTCTGGCTAGCCCACCGGTTCTGCGTCAGATGAAGCTTTAATAGTCTCGGGACTGAAAGCACAAACATCAGTTAATATAAGATACAAGATCTTGAATGTAACATCTCGTTGCAGGTTACCCAAGGGTTCAGCGGTGCCGATCTGACTGAGGTGTGCCAGCGCGCCTGCAAACTGGCCATCAGGCAGGCCATCGAGGCGGAGATCCAGCGAGAGCGGACGCGTCAGCAGCAGACACCGGCCGCCGTCATGGACGTGAGTGTTCTCGTCATGTGTAATGAAGACGGCACTAGTAGGTCGCGCTTTATAAGGGCTCGATATGAATTTAAATTTTTTATACTAGCTGCTGTCCGCGACTCTACGTAGAATAGGCTGAAGGCGTAACATTCAGACAGAAAGACTGATGTATAAGTACTGATGTAACTTCTGATGTATAAGCTATATTATTGTAAAGTTTCATTAAAATCCATTCGGTAGTATTTGCGTGAAAGAGTAACAAACATCCATCCATACTTACAAACTTTCGCCTTTATAATATTAGTAAGGACAGTGATTTTTCCTTTACTGTGAAGTTAAAAGTAAAGCTAGCTTCTGACAAATTTTACGATCCTTTGCGAGAATTACAATTTATGATTTCATTCCCAGGATAAAAAGTCTTCAATGGTGATGAGCCGACAACAAAGTAGTTCTTATGTTTTTTATTTTGGAGCCTAAATATTGTTGCTTTATCTTTGAGAAAGATATAAAACAAGTAATCTGTCTATATAATCTGTCAATGATTATTTTTAATATGGGAAATTGTCAATCGCGAGTGCGATCCACATAAGCGTTAGATCAGGAGTTGTAGATGCTTTAAAAAATGGGCTACTTCACCAGACGACGCTTCCACTTTACGCTACGCTTTTGTTAGGCCGTGGTAATTGCCCGCAAGAGCCTGCCCATTATGCAACAGTACCACCACTATGGGCAATTCTCTCATCCGTCCGACGTCGTGTGCGCAGATGGACGAGGAGGACCCGGTGCCCGAGATCAGCCGCGCCCACTTCGAGGAGGCGATGAAGTTCGCGCGCCGCTCCGTCTCCGACAACGACATCCGCAAGTACGAGATGTTCGCGCAGACGCTGCAGCAGAGCCGCGGCTTCGGCACCAACTTCCGGTGCGTATTGCGATATTTCTATTATACAGCGTGTCGTTACCATCGCGACAATAAATGAACACACGTCTAACGCTACTTGCCAATAATCATAAAAAAATATTAACGTTAAACAAAATCCATAATTAAAAAAAAATATTTTTCAAACTAATTAAGTAAAAAAGAAACAAAATTTGTAACATCCTATACAACTCGCGCCACAGCGTCGCATTGTTTCACATGTTTTTTTCTCTTTTAAATTCATTCAACCCATTCATATGTTATGTGACCTTTACAAATGAACTTTACGTTACAGTTTTATACGTAAGGGTGTTCTAAAATTGTTTGTTTTGGAAAATTTAATAACTCGGTAAATATTGATGTTTAAAGAATGTAAATGTTTAATACAATTTTAAAAAGTTATCCGCTATATGTGTGTTCATTTATTGTCGCGGTGGTAACGACACGCTGTATTTGTTTAATATATTTATTTATTGGTGTTGTTTTATTGGGAACGCCATAACTCCCATAAATCATCATCAAATTTAATGATTCAAACACCATTTTAAAGTTTGTTTGCCCGCAATTGATGAAAAATACACAAGTAGAAATAAAGTAATGTCTTTATAAAAATTTGTTAGTAAAGTAAAGATTAGTCGTTGTTTAGAACACCTCTTAACTTTTACGTTTGCGTGGTGTATAATTGAATGAAGTCGACGAAGTGTTCGCGAATCATGTTGATCCGGCGTGTCGGTTTCTGCGCTTGCAGGTTCCCAAGCAGCGGCGGCGCGGCGGGCGGCACGGGCACTTCGGGCGGCGACCAGCCCACCTTCCAGGAGGAGGGGGGCGACGACGACCTCTATAGTTAAGCGCACCGCACACCGTCGCGTCACTGCCCGCCGCCTCCGACGCAACGATTCTGCGCGCCACGAGCGCAATATTAGAAGAATATTAATATTAGAATAATATCAATATTGGAATAATATTAATATTAGATGTAGCATTGTTGACTGGCTCTCAGGTAGCGGCGGCGATGCGGCGACAGCGGTGGCCGCTCTAGGTTTATAACTTACTTAAGAATTATCGGTTCAGTGATGTGCATCGCGTCGTCGTGGGCTTTCGAATGTCGTAATTGTCCTTTGTCAACAAATATTTCAACAGCTTACTATAACCGAATAAAGGTTGCATTGTAATTTCCTCGAAATTATGGTGTATTATGACAAATCTGTCTCGGAAAGCCAAATATACGATTTTCAGAATTAACTTCGGCACGCCGGTCAAACTACGCGCCGCCTGATTCATTGATATATGTAAATGTATTTATTGAATTCAATCAATTTACTGTTCCAATTCTTCGCTTATGTTTAGTTATATTGAAATGTTTGTGTTGGCAACACTTGGGAGCGTGAAGCATCCGTATTTGAGTAATTGTTACCTGTGTCTCAGATCGTAAGTAGGTTACGTCGGTTCGCCGACGTAGTATTGTACCGCAGTGATTTTTAAATAAAAAAGATTTTTATAATCTTAATGTGTTTTTTTATTCATATTGTCCCCTTTAACACTGTTGTTGCACTTTTGATTGATTAGTACATACTTTATCCACGCAAAAATCCACAGTAACATGAATTTTGTGATGTTATAAAGCAAGTCTGTTGACGGAGAGGAAGGAATAAATTTTTACTGTACTACCCCAAATGTATTCTGTAGAAAAGCAACAAGAGACATTGCCCGCATAGAATACTGTTTGCTAAACTTTTAGCAGCTTTAATATCTTTATGGTCAATGATATATCATCTCATTACGTTCATTCTTATGCTTCCAGTTTTGTTGTTCGATTTATTTATGGTAAAACCCATAGCTACACTATCCTTTAACGAAGCAGTGTCAGCAGTTATTATGGACTGGATGAATCTTAAATAGTAAGGTTGCCTTAGTTTAAGTGGTACCTAAACTTTTTGGTTTTGATAAATAAGACCACATTTACATAATAGATTTATTGTTTTTCGAAATATGGGCCCTCACTATTTACAAATTAAAATTTTTGCATTCGTCAGGATCATTGTATAAAGCAGTCTAGTCTAGATTTCATCAGGGACCTTTCTCAATGGCTTCGTGATACGCATCCACTCGCTTTCGGATTTAAAAGTCATGCCCGTTTGACCATTTATCCCTAACTTAAGGGATACCTTAAATTTTTTTATTAAAATGTCACGATTAAAATTTTAGGTGTGGTAATTTTTTAGGTCCCTTTTTTAGATCCCTTAAAGTAAAGAAAACGGGCACCGAACCTCCAAATTTATCCTTAATTTTCGGAAATAAATAGAAGTCGCCAGGTGCGAGGCCAGGGTTGTATGGCAGATGAGCCGTATTCTTGCCGGTGCTGGCTTGCATTAACTTCGTACGCAAGCCTTCAAAAAGGAATGACCTAGCCTGTCGCCTGGTCTTTTCTTTCTAGTTCAGTGTTAACTTAGAATATCGACATTGTTTTTTTTAATGACACGGACAAAATAGATATACTTTTTGTTATGATGAGCCGTGATTAAAGCCATTGTCCGGGCGTCGAATTCAATATTACTCGAACAGCGCGAGTTCTATCCCGTGTCGGTCAAATATCTATATAAATATTTTAGAAAGGTGTGGTCAAACCCTCCATATTTTCGAAATAATAAAATAAACATTTGGAAATCCGCCAATCTGCAGTGGGGTGGTGTGATACCCTCCGTACTGTAGCGGCCTTAGCCCAGATGTGGGATATATCGTGTACATCGCTTTCCTTTTTTTTAGTTGGTAAGACATGATAAGGCATGGCAACATTATATTATTTTTACGTGACAAAGGACGAAATCAAACAGACCTTTCACAAATTATCTTATTTCTTGGCTTCAAATTACTGTAAATTATAAACATTACGATGTAATTAAAAAGCTAATAAAGTCGTATAATATGTAATGTTAGGTAGATTAATCTATATAATATATAAAAATCTGTGTGTGTGTATGTTCTCTGTGGATATCACCCGATTTCGATTAAAATTTCAGGTAATCTTCAGATTAGCAGCAGGTGATTTTTGACAGATATTTTGGATGATTAGTTTTTTTGACCAGTTGATGTCAGTCTGTAGAAATTACTGTTTGTCATTATCTATGCTAATAGTCTAAAACTGGTTTAGAAACTGTTTAGCTTGACAAAAAATTTGCCAATAAACAACTGTCTATCCTGTTCTGATAGTGTATAAAACAACAAAGATCACAATTAACAACAAGTTTATTAAAAAAGTAAAATATTTTGAAAATTATAAAATAAACACCAATATTGAAATCAGATATGACGCTGCGATATAAACATCTGAGTAGACTGGAATAAATAAACGTTTACAATAAATGAAATTGATATCAAAAACTAACACTCTTGTTTACTAAACAGTTCCACAAGTTGTGGTGAGTCCTGCAGCAAATTCCTCAACGATAATGCTCGGTCGTGTACGAATGATTCTATAGGTTGATGCAAATAGTTTTGCGAAGGCGACAAATTTATGTAAAGGTCTTTGTCGGTTTTCGCAAGAATTTCCACATCCTTCAACACCTTGTTTAGTACAGATATTGCTTGTTCATCGTCAAAACAAGTACATAAATATTCGAATTCCTGATCAGAATATTGAGTGGCCATGTCTTTAGTTTTCGACTGTGATAATTTTGGTTCTATCGTTAGAGTTTTCTTACCTCTTGCCTTCCTTACCAATTTTTTTAAAGTGGTCATAGAGCATTTTTCGTAATTGGGCAAATCTGGATAGTCAAATGCGGACATTTTTCTCATGTAAGGGGGCAAATGTTCTTGTAGAGTTTTCTTTGCAATTTTAGCACATTTACAAGATTTAGGCTCCATGAATTTAAAATATCTTTCCCATTTTGGTTCACGCGTATGCGCTAGCCGGTTCTCCTCAGATAATTCATTGCTTTGTATCGAAATAGTCGACGAGAGAAGCCGTTTTTCAAATTTCTGATCACTTATTTCTTGAGTAGAGGTTTTTGTATGTTGACTTAAGCAGTGCGGCAATTTACATTGAAATACGCTTTCTGTTTGACTTTCACTTATCACTTTCTCTTCATATGTGTTCGGCTTATCTTTTTGCAGTATTTGCATCAAAGAACTCTGGCCTTTTAACTCGAGCAATTGTTGTGAAGGAGTATACTTTATCGGCACGTCATAAGTGTAGTCATGATGATCCGTTAGATCCTGTTCTTTCTCACGCTGGATATTAAGAAACTGCTCAACTTTATCCGCAAATTCTGCTAAATTATCGCAGGCGGCGTATATGCATCTTTTGTTTACTACTATAACCGGTAATTGAGATGAGCTTGAAGAACATGGTTTCGGGCACATGTTTAAATCAATTTGCGGTTTGGAGCCTTCGTCACAAAAGAGATAAAATGGTCGTAGATCAGGTACTGGTGTATGGAATTCCTCTTTTTCAGGCTCAAATAAGCTATCAGCGCTTGGGTTTTCAATGGCTGCACTAAACTGCATCAGCATTAATTTTTCTATGTTCAATAAGAAGTCCGCTAGTTCTGGAACTGAGTTTAATGAGTACGCAATAAATTCTTGAAATTTTTTTATAACTTCACATACTTTCCGCTGCCATACGCTTTTCAATTTTTCTTGTCTTCTCTCATTTTCTTTAGCTATTTCAATTTCTAAATCATTTCTAGCCACTTCTTCTTTTAATAGTTTTACTATTTTCTTGTGCTCAAGTTCGGTTTCGAGCAGCAACTTGTTGCGTGCTTCTCTCTCTTTCATTACTACATAAATTTGACAAGCTAAGTTTTGACATTCAAGCAATTTTCGGAGTTTCTCGATCGCTACATGCTTTTCAAGATTTATATCGTGTATATTATTACCTAGGTCAGTTCGCATTTGTTCTACGTTTTGGATGAATTGATCTTTTAATTCTTCTTTCTTATTTTTTAGTTTTTCCGCGTAACGATCGTACAGCATTGTAGCCTGCTGTTTTAATAGCTTTTGATAAGTGTTTTTCATTTTAGAATAAACTTCTTCTTTCTCTCTTTCAATTTCTTTAATTGCAGCGTTTAAAAGCAACGTTTCAATTTTATTTAAAGACTTAGTATATAACAAAGTAAACTCATGGAAAGCGTGTTTTAGTTTATCGGTATTTTTTCCAGCTGCTTTCTTGGAAAGTTCTGTGTACTGTTGTTTGCAAGAAAGCTCTATGTTATTTTTCCAATATATGTCGTTTTGAAGAAGAGCTTGGCGTGTTTCTTCTACCCGATTTTTGAGATGACACTCAAGTATTGTTTTTCCATAATGTTCGAGCCCATTGAATCCTAGCTTCGTGAGAAATTCCTTCTTCAGTGGCTTAAGGACCGTCCTTCCCTTTAATAAATCTTCTGGGGGGGCATACCAGTCGTTGCCCGCCCCTTTTAATGGAGGTTCTAGACCAGCAAGGACTTTAAGCTTTGGTTTCAGAGATTTAAAATATACCTTGGCCAAGGCTGGTGACATCGTTTTTATCATCACACTTTGTGTAGGCACTTGGTTGGTTTCGAGATAGCATTTTCTGAGATAGTAATTTTCACTAAGCCTATTCATTACATATTTTAATTAATCGGAGTATAACGTTAGGAATATTTATAAATATGTCATTATAGACGAACTTTTGTTTGATGTAAAAATGTCAATCAGTGACAAAGTTTTTCTAAAGAGATTTTAATACATACCGGCGTCATTCACCCTGAAGACAGAAATTTAAATTTTTCTCAATCCTGATAGTAAAAAATCTATATATACGATATCATATCAAGGCAGAATTCTTCTCAGTATATCGCCAAATTGATCAATATTCGCCTAGACCTGAGGATAAACCGAAATGGACGTCTCATGATTAATATTTTTTTTTATACATATGATCTCTTATATGTATCCATATAATCATGTGTTAATTTAGTATATTTCATATATATAATAAATAGTTAACAATCTCAAAGCCACTATGTTAGAGACCTGAGTAAATACCTTTTGTATTTCGAATATAGATAATTACCGCTTAGTTAGAATGTACCACACACTTTGTATAAATTCTTATGTATTTTTTTAACTACCTTGTATTTCATCATTTTCTTTATAATTATTCCCCTAGCTGCGTATTTGTATTTTCTCTGTAATTGGTTTTGTGTAAATCTTTTCAGTAAATAAATGTCTTCAATCTAAACATTTTTTAATTAATTGAATTTAGCGAATAAGGCACGTGTGAATAAGGCACAGGTTAAATAATTACGAATATTATACATTGTTAAATGAAACTATTTTACTTTAATTATGCTTAATATTCATTATTAGTTTAATTATATTTTCAAATTCCCGACGTTTCGAACTCATTCCAGCGCTCATGGTTATAGGAGAGTTCATTTAAAAAACGGAAAAATCATACTTAAAAATATTTATGCGTGTTACCACATTGCCACAGGAAAGAACATTCGTTTAAAAAGAAGGTTAACACTTAAGTAATTTTCGTTTGCATGATAATTCGAAGGAAACCATTAATAAATCAAATATAACTTTTATTGATATAAAATTATAAATATTATTTCTCTTAATGTCTAATTAAATTCAGTCTGATTTAACTACGTTACTTCACCGACCGCCATTTTATGCAACAAATTCATCACGTGGCAGAATCGCTCCTTGATTTCGGTCACTGAACGATGCGGCAACAGTTCCCTGATTCGGCCAAACACTTGCTCAGAACTGGCCTCTCCCTTTAGCACCTCTAGCATAGTTTTATCTTCTTCCCTAGTCCATCTTCTCGTTTCCTCTTTCGCCGTCGCGTCTATTCTGTTTTGTCTGACCCTCGAAGCCTCCTCCCTCTTTGGAAATGTGTTCTTCGCGTCCAATCTCTCCACCCTCTTGTCTCTTTTGACATCTTTCAAATCCAACTCTCTCTTGTCTTTGGCGCTTTTGTTTTTCGCGATCGCCTTGCCTTTGACCGTTCTGTTTAGGGAGCCGGTGCATTCCTTGTGCTTTGTGTTGTCGTTCACGTCTTTAGCGTTCTTCGTTGGCGACTTGAGTTGTTTCTTCTGCTTCTTGGGCGGGATCTTGCAGGAGTTCTTGCTATTCCTCTTCGGCGATGACCTCTCCTCTTCGGAGTCCGGCGGGGTGGCGTGGCAGTGGGGCGGCGCGAGGCGTCGCGCGTGCACTCTGTACGGCTCCTTGCTGTATGGATAAGTGACTGATGCCGAACGTAGCATTCTACCGTGTTGCAGGAAAACCCTGCCCTGTATGTACTGAAAATCAGAGATGAACATGTAACAAACTTTGGCTTATGGTTGTCTTTGTAGATGTCAATCGGATTTTTTGTTAAACATAATGCGATAAACGTATTGTCGACCACATATTTATGTACGACGAAATGAAGTGACTATACGTGATACATTATGTATTAAAAAAATAATGTTAAAGTAAAAAATATTTTATTTAGTTTTCGGATATTACAGTCTAGCCAACGATTCTATGAGACTTGACCAAAAAACAACTAAATTGAATTACAACCGAATGATTTTTCACTTCCACGTAAAAGATCGGATAGTCTCTAAATCTAAGTATCTTAATTCCCAACGAAATAATCTAGTTTATTAGCGTATAACATGCATCGCTACAGAGATTTACGTGAATCTTGAAATGTGATTGTTTGTAGATAAATGGACAAAATTCCGTTGCCTGGAAGCCGTAGGTTCGAATCCGACTTTTTTATTTCAATCTACAAATATTAAAATTTTAAGAGACCACCACTTAAAATGAAATAATTCATTTTATGTCAATCAGACTTACAAGAATGTTAAAGTTTGTCTTTCTTAAAAAATTCACGCATAATTTAAATCTGACAATTTCGTACACCTTTAGGCAACATTTAATGATACTTTAGTTCATGAGTTCAAAAATACCTAAGTGACAAAAGTGTGACATATACTGTGGTGTTACAAGTATGGGAATAGCTTTTTCGTCTGATAAATAATACTAAAAGAGGGGTAAGGTCAAGGGTCCGCCACCTGGCACCAAGTTCCTAAACTCAAAACCGGAAGAACAGGAAGTGTCCTGTTTAATGTCATTTCGACCTTATGATAAGAAAGGAGACGGATACTTTTATATTATCAACGGTTTAACCTCTATTCTCAATTTGCGAAACCAATCACGAAGGCGATCTGCGGCGGCTTGGAGCCATAATTTCTTGGGATGTCGCTCGTGTGTTGAGAAAAGAAAGTCTCAAAGGGGAGAGTTAGGAGCCTTGGGGAACGCCTGGCTTGAGAGGGCGGTTCGTAGGGATTTCAAAATGCTCACCAGTGAACAGATAATCGCACCTGGGACTGGGCTTTAAGACTTTGCTACTTATTTTATCGTGGCTTTGACAGACGTTTTTTTTAATCAATATCTTTCTTTAAAAAATCCCCTTTACAATGAAAAAATGACTATCTGTGTGCCAAATTTCATTTATATCGGTTCAGTAGTTTTGGCGTGAAAGCGAGACAGACAGAAAGAGTTACTTTCGCAATTATAATATTAGTATGGATATACTGGGTGTTTTAATATGATATTGTTGCTCAGTAGGGCTCTAGGTATCTCTAGGGGTATAGTTGGGGTCGTAGGGGACTTCATTAAGGATTTGTTCCTTGTGATGTAAGTTGTATGTGACTCGGGGATATAGTCGGGGGCTAAAGTGCGAAGACTTTTTGTAATCTTAGGGTCGTGTATGCTAGGCTTCAAAAAGGTCCTCTGAAATAAAAATATATCTGTATTCTAGTAGCGTAAACTTGTACTGTATATCTTACCTTTTTAAACAGACGACTGCTTAAAATGGAGCAGTCGTCTGTTTTAAAAGGTAAGGGCGGGATCCTTATACTCTATGGAACTGATTTTACTAAACAGCTGATTTTTGGAAGTGTGATCGTTAGTTTATAACCGGTTAATGATTTTAAAAGATATTTGGTGAAAAATATCGAAATGCAACAACGTAACAAAGTAAACAACCTAATCAGTGCAACTACACAAAAAAAAACTGTTTTCTCAGTTTGGCGAAATTAATAGGATTTTGAAACAATATGTACTGTCATAATCTTATTATTTATTTTTTGCGCGAATCTTCGCTCTTTAAATAATAGTTTTTAAAGATCAAAATATTAACCATAATGGTTCTGTTTTCGTTAAATTGATTTCGTTTATCAAATATTGTTATTACAATTTGGCTCACAAATCCCCATCTCCTTTAAATTTGCACTCAGTGACCTATTAAAATTGCATTTAAAGATCAGTTTATTTGAATATTTAAATCGTTCTCACAGTGTCTGCCATGTTTGCTGTGAGACGAATGACAGAAACAGATTTCATTTCAACAAAAACTTTAAAGTTCTTATCATAAAGTCGAAATTTAATTAACAAGCGTTATTTTATTCGATACTCGCATGCACACACAGCATAGTTACGTGACGATTTCCATCAATTCTCTTCCCCGCAAGCCACGTTAAGGAACTTCGTTAAAAAAAATACATTTAAATTATAAAAAAAGAATATACAAGGGCCGAATTAAACTTACCACCGCGTCCATGTTCTCTTTCGCCTCTAAATTCCGTTTGCTGTCGTTCTCGTCTTCAAACTCCCAAACATCGTAACCCCTGTCTGCTGTTAAGAAGCTGTCGGCCATTACGTCCGTGCCATTTTCGTATAAACTGTTGGAGAAATAGGGATAATGTTATTCTGAAACAAATTATGTGATGCATATATGTGGCATACGTTGACCACGAAAATGGAATACTTTACACTGATTTATCCATAACAATTTCGAAATACATAAAGAAAAATATGTGTGATCAAATTAGAATTGACGCGGTCTTAGATTTAACTTATACGGGTAAAAATAAGCAAATACCCTTCAGGTTTAATCTATGCTTTTAGATCGAATGTAGGAAAGTTGTCAGCAACTCATGAACCTCATATTTCTTGGTATTTGGATAAAGCTGGTTTTCGCGATCAAACAGTCTTATTTATCATTGATTTGTTAAATTTACGCGGATACTATACATTTTATTAAAAACAACTCTATGGATTTAGCACATTTTTTTTATTATTTTTGCTCGCGACATTTCAAATACTCTATAAGATGGTCGTGAGTTTAGTCCGATTCACGCGGCAAACGGTGATCGTGCCTTGCAGTGTGTTGGTTCACAGGTAACCATTAAAATCATAGCTGCTAACAAACAGATACGTTTGTTTACTTTCATTAACTTATCATAAAAAGATGATAAAGCTTTCTCATAAAGGTCTTCTGTGAGTTCGTGGTACTTCCCCGGACGGATCTGCCCATTCGTGCTACAGCGAAGACTGTTGCGTGGCCACAGTTATCATTAATATTATATTTTATTTAAATCGATGAATTAATAGTGATCACAATATGTATCATCAATTTATTACTATGTACTGTTTTCCACATGCAACCGAGTTTGCTCAAATACTTTTTTTTTTACTTTTTCAGGTCAAGGCATTATTTTGTTTGTTTGGTTTGACGTCGTGATTGGTTGTGCAATTCTGATTTATAAACAGATACAAATTAGGATTGCTTCTTGTCATTTGCCCCTTCTCTTTAGTGAACTTTATTTTTCATATCACTTTCATAAGCAACTGATCTCTGAAATTGATGTACTGGTTTGCGCGAATAAATATAAAAGCAATAATACTGGTTATTTTACATAATGTTTTCTTTGCGGCTACTAATTTATATTGTCATGAATAAAACAAGATGAATTATATCATTACAAATCAGGTTTATTAATGCGAGGAACTGTTGAAAAGTTTGATGGCAGTGTCGCTGACAAATGAGAGTAAAGAATATAAATTCCTCTAATGTGATAGACCTACTGAGGTACGAAGACAATGACAAAGGCTGGATACTACTTATGTGGTTGCGGATTAAAATCTCCGCCGGGTTCGATTTTCAGTCCGTATTTTTAACTTCCTTGTATTAACTGATGTTTTTGCTTTCAGTCCCGAGACTATTAAAGCTTCATCTGACGCAGAACCGATGGGCTAGCCAGAACCCACAGGTTTGGGCCCTCCGCTGTGGGTAGGGCCACGCATGTGCTCATGCGTGCGTTTAACTATGGTGTGTCATCTAAGGGCCATCGAGGTCGTGGTTCGGACCGAAACCCCGATGGCCGTCGACTGTGCAATTAGCTAATCGGTGGCTGGGGGCGGTGAGAACCGCCCCGGAACGCGGGTGTACCTTGTGTACGCGTTGTGTTGGTCTCGCCGTGCTCGGAGGCGAGGGCGAACTAGTGTGTTTGTTGTTGCACTAACTGTGGGTGTAGTGTTGTCCGGCGGGACCCTCGGCAGTGGGTCCGGCGTGTCTAAGTCCCCTTCCTCGACCGGGTCAATTAGGACGTTTCGCGGGCGACGCTTGTTGACGTTCGCGTTTTTGTCGGGTTGGTAATTTGCTGCGCTTACCACCAGAGGGTTGGGATGATGTTCGGCTCTATCGAAGAACCGTTTGGTCAGGTCTTTAAAATATTCGCGAATCGGTCGGGAGTCTGCAATCGCTGTGCAGGTCGACGTTGCGTTGATACCACTGCGCACCGGTTGCGCGGCGGATGAACTTATTTTGTACTATTTGCAACTTGTACAAGCGAGTAGGGTGCGTGTGGGCGAAGGTCATGCATGCGTAAGACATAATAGGTCGTACGCAGGTCTTATATAATAATAATTTGTGCCTTAAGGGCATTTTACTTTTAGCGTTAGTTAAGTTGTGTAGCCGGCCGGAGACGAACGCGGCTCTATTGCGAACGTTATTAATGTGCGTAGTAAATGACATACGCGAGTAGAAAATGACACCTAAGTATTTGACCTTTTTCTCCCAGGGGAGCGGTTGGCCATAAAGGGATATTTGCCCCAACTTTCTGCATTGACGAGGGCCATTATAAAGATGTGACGGGTAAGTACTTCGTGTGAAGTGAATCGCCACACTCTTTTCGGGATTTATTTCTATTCTCCATTTGCGGAACCAATAGCCGAGGCGGTCGGCAGCGCTTTGGAGTCGAGTGGTTAGTTGTCTAAGGTTGCGGTCTGAATAAAAGAGCGCCGTGTCATCCGCGAAAAGCGCGAGATTGACGTGGGGGTCTTTAGGTATATCGCTCGTGTAGAGCGTAAAGAGCAAAGGTGAGAGGCAGGAGCCTTGTGGTACGCCGGCGGTGAGGCGGCGGCTTGTGGAGAGGGTGCTTTCAACTCGATATCGAAAAGAGCGGTTCGACAGGAAGGCCTGGATGGTGTGTACGAGCCTATCTGGCACTTTGAGTGTGTACAGCTTGTAAAGCAAGCCGTTGTGCCAGACCTTGTCGAATGCTTTTGCGACATCGAAGAAAAGAGCCCCTGTACTAATATGTTTAGGGTGATTTAGGCCTTTTAGGATATGTTCCGTTAGGCGGAATAGTTGATCGGGACAGGAATGTCTAGCTCGAAAGCCGAATTGTTCCGCCGGCAGAAGGCCGTTGGAAAACACGTGCTCATTGAGCCTGTTTAATAAAAGCCGCTCGTAGAGCTTCCCCAGGCAACTGAGGAGGCTGATGGGACGATAACTAGAGGGCTGGTTGGCTGGTTTATTAGGCTTGCAAATGCCGATAACCGTGGCTTCTTTCCAGTCGTCCGGAAAGGAGCAACTGGAGAGTAAAGTATTGTAAATGGTCGCCAGTAAACAGATAAGCGGCCCAGGGAGAGCTTTAAGAATTTTGTTACTAATATTATCTGGGCCCGGGGCGGATTTGGGTTTTAAGTTTTTAATAATATCTTGAACCTCTTCGGGGGTCACTGAATTCAAAGGATCGCCTTCCGGTGGAAGCGCAGCCCTAATCTCGATTACGCGGTCCACCTCCGTTAGGTGGGCTGTATCGATGTGTTCGCGCGATGGCGTACATTGCTGCTCTAGGTTGTCCGCAAGGCATTCGGCTTTTTCGGAGTCATCTAGGGCTACTGAAGCGCTATTAGGTCTAACTAACGGCGGTAGAGATTCGCAGGGGTCTGCTTTCAGACTGCGGACCAACCGCCAGTAGGCGGTGTGCGATGGCTCGATGTCCTCTAGGAGAGTGTCCCACGTTGTATGTCGGTGTTCCGATACACGATCTTTGACTTCTAGCTGAAGGCGTCGAAGTAGGGTTCGGTTCGATTCCGATCGGTATCGGTCGAAAGCGCGTTTGGCTGCATTTTTCTGCTTAATTAGGAGTCGCAGGTCGGGCGGAAAGTTAAACCGTCGATCGCCCGACAGTTTAACCGTCCGTTCCGAGTCTGCGACTGTGGAAGTGATGGTTTCTCGGAGACTTGCTATCGCTCGATTTGCGTCATCGAACGTAGCTATCGTCTCGGGTAGGTCGACTAAGTCCTGGGGGTCCAAGGCCTTGAGTTTGACCTCAAGAGGATGCCAGTCCACTACGGATTTGGTCGGAGGGACCGCGCCGGCGTTCTGGCCCAGTTTACACAGGACGGGCCTGTGATCTGAGTCTAGTTCATGGATTGTCTCTATCGACTCGATGTCGAGCGAGACCTCCTTGAGTAACATGATATCTAGGATACTCGGTGTCGCGTGTTGGTAGTTGTCCACCGTAGGATACCTAGTGGGAGTCGCAGGTAGGTACCTAGGGGGAGAGCAATTATGCTAAAGTTTAAATTATCGGATAAGCTAAAGAGATGCTTTCCGTTGTTATTTTGGATGCTGTGGATGTCCCATGAGCCGTGTTTGCAGTTTAGATCTCCTGCAATTATCACGGAAGGGCCTAAGTTGAGTAGCGTATCTAGGTCGCTTTGTAATAAGGTTTTGTTCCCCGAGAGGTAGGCTGAGACTAGTACAAGCGGCCTATGGCCGGTGAGCGCTAACCTACACGCGGATGCCTCTATATGGCTTAGCTCTGGAATGTCGAGCGGGCTACAGTGCAAGGACCGTTTGTAATAAATTAAGGTGCCTCCCAGAGGGTTTGCTAACCGGTCGTGGCGGACTATGTTGTAGTTTGCGATTCTGGGATCGCGTACACTAGGTTTTAAGAATGTCTCTTGCACTAGAAAAATATCTACGTTATAATCGCGAAGGAATTCCGCGATTTCGTCCATTTGACCCTTTATGCCGTTTGCGTTGAAATACGAAACAACCAGAGCCCGAGGTTTTGTTCTACCTGCGGTTGTACTTCCCATTAAAGTTTTTTATGAGTTCTAACTAACGACGCGGCGGAGCGCGGTTTTATTGCGCGGACTATTAGATGGTTGGCTTGTAAATGCCCAGAGGGCTTCTACAAGCATTTTATGTTCGCTAATGGCTTTAAATCGCGCGTTGCCAGATGTGGCGGCCGCTATTTTAGCGGACAATACGGCGAGTTCTTGTCTATTAATGCGGTCTAATAAGGCGCAGATGTTGGCAATTTGGGCGAACGGGTCGTCCTTGTTTTCGGCGAAAACCGACGGTGTCGACTGCACCTGCGGCGTCGGCGCCGTTTGATAGGCGGGCTGCGATAGAGTGATTGGTCGTGAGGCGACCGGGGGCGCGGCCACCTGCGGTTTCGCCCAGGCGTTTACGACGGGTACGGGCGCGGGAACGTATTTCACGGGCGCGGGTTTGGGCAAAGTAGATTTCGCGGGAGCTTTTCTCGCGGGAGTTTTTGGGGCCTAAGCGCAGCCCCTGTAGCTAGCCGGGTGGCCGGTGGTATGACAATTAACGCAGTCCGGTGGATCTGCGCAATCTTTTGCCCGCGTACAATCGGGCGTGCCGTGGTCACCGGTGCATTTGACGCACCTAGGGTGAGCGAAACAATTATTAGCCGTGTGGCCATAGTGTTGGCAGTTGTGGCACTGCGCCACAACTCCCGATCTTCGCGGGGGCTCGATCAAGAGGTCGCTGAGCCCACAGACCCTCTTCAGGTTGAAGATGGCCTTACCTTCCGGGGTAGGGTCAAGTTCAACCATCACCATGTCCATAGGGACACGGGTTCTGGGGTGTCTGAGACGTCGGACGGCATGCACAGGGTATCCCTGAGTGCGGATGTCGGTTTTCGCCTTGTCGATATCCGACTCTTTGGGGACGCCCTTGATAACTACCCGAAGCTTGCGTTCTTCGGGCAAAGAGTAGGTGTGAAAACCTATCTTATTTTCGCGCAAGTATTTCGTTAGCGGCGGAAATCGTCCGTTGTGTCAAGGTATACGCGGATACCCATTTGTGTATTTTTCGACCGGGGGGTCGCGGATATTGTGGCGTTCAAACCACGAAGAAATTTGGTGCCACTTAGCCTTCTCCTGAATGATGATGGGTGGAGGAGGCTTTATTTTTCGCTTGGAGGCGAATTCGGGCATCGGTTTAGCCGCCGCAGCCGCCTTTTTGGTGGGCGTCGCGGTGGGTTGGTTAGTTGAAGCGGCCTCGCATTCGGGGTCGCTGTCGGCAGCGGGGCGTTTTTTGCCCTTCTTACGCGACTTTACGACGGTGAAGCCGTCGACGTTCGCGTTTTCAGCGGGGGTCGTTTCGACCTCCATGTCCGATCCGCCGTCCGATTGTGAGTCGGGAACGACGGCGCGGAAGGGGGCCGAGATGGGATGCGCGGAAGGCGCGATGGGTACGATCGCGGCGGCGGAGGTCGACGCGACGGGCTTTTCTTGTGTCGCTGAAGGCGACGCATTAACGGGCGCTGAGAGCGCCGGAGATGACGGCGAGGCGACTGCCGGTGAAGCCGGGCTGTCGCTGGCGAACTCGACGACTAAACATTTTTCTTTCGCGAACGCGAGAAAGTTTGCCCACACTTCGGGACATCGTTGGCGAAGGAATTCCTCTAGGAGGGAACCCATTTCGAGCGCTTGAACCTTTGGGGCTTGCGCCCCGCCGGCGTGTAAGTTACTAAATAGGCCTCCCCACCTTGCGGCAGGGAGGTGTGTGCCTAAAACTAACAACTAATCCGCCTGCGCTTTAGGTGCGCTAGGGTGGGTACCTAGCTGTCGCCTATCGCAACAAGCACACTGTTATTAAATAAAAACAATGCCGCCTCTGAGGCGAGAAGTGTATAGAATTCTACTTACAGAACAGGAACCTGCCTACGAGCACAACACTAACACTAAACTACTGCACTGCTTGCACAAAGATTTAAATTGCAACCGAAGTTGCGAGTAGCGTCTAATTCGGGTGGCATTAGCCCTCCGTCTTAGAGAGAGTTCCGTTCCGTACGAGAGCACGAAGCGGAATGATTTTTAACTTTATCATCAGATCAGCAGTAGTAATTAGTAATAGCAAAGAGTATTGGTATCACTAATAACAACGGATACTATTAGGTACAACGAGTTACGTCGCCATTTTGCTAACTAGATGGCTTTATTAGCTAACTGTTTACTCTAAAATAAAGTTAGTTTAAAATAAAGTTAGGTTAGTCTAAAATAAAGTTAGGTAAAATAAAGGTTTTATTGCACAGCAATGCGTGCAGTTAGTTTTTTGCTAGGGACAGGATGTGTTTCTTTCTGCAGGACCACAGAAGACCGTTGCAAAAAAAACAGCAAAACGACTGCATTAAAAATAACAACTATTCCTGTATATCCTTTTCGCGGCCACCGATATGAAATAATACACTAAGGACTCGTTCAACAGAGACGAATCTAATAACACGAGACCTCATATATTGAAATCTGTCAGAAAGATTTTCCTATAGAACGCACGCAAGAATACAGCCGAGCCTGCGGTATTTCCCCGACAGTCAGCCAATAGCTGAGCGCCGTGTCAATATTGAGTCACGAATAACATCGCGGGGCAAGAGTTAAGTTCGTCATATTCGGTGAGATTTTTTAATGTGAAAGTTGACAAGCGAGCAGGCGGTCCAGTTGATGTAAAGTGAATACCGCCGCCCATGGACATCTGCTACACCCGAGGATTACAGATGCGTTGACAACCTTTTGAAAATTGGGCTCAGGCCTCCTCACTCACCAGATGAAACGCGAAAGTATTTTAGTAATTACTAGTTCGTATGCATGAGAATATCTGAATGCTTATTTGATCAATCCTCGTATCGTCCGCTCTTTCGCGACGCAGTCTGAATAGCTTTGACCAGATGTTCAGATATCACCGTCGTCTATGGACATCTACAAATTGGGTATCAGATGCGTTGCCTATTGAAAAATGGGCCCGACAACCACGCTCATCAGACGAACGAAATTATAATACTTTCACTTCACGCCGCTGTTCTGTGAGGCCGTGGTACTTCTCTGGCGAGTCTGCCGGTTCGTGCAACAGATGTGCGTGGCCCCACCTCCACCTCAGTGGATATACGTTGATTTGAGTCGAAGTTGATTCGAACAATCGGTTAACATAATGGAAACATAAATTGCCGATATTCATGGAATGCACAATTGGAATCTCGGCAACAAGCCAAAGGGACAATTGATAAGGATCCAACGCAACCATTCCGCCCGGCACAAGCTATGATAGCTCAGTATACGGGCGTTCGTTTTTAATTCATTATACTCGAGCAACCCGAGTTCAAATCGCGGTGCCAGTACCAATGAAATTGTTAATTTTAAGTGCTGATTTATCGGTAAAGGAGAACATTGTGAATGAGCCTGCATATTTTCTAAATAATAACAAAAAAGATATTTCGAATGATATGTGAAGTCTCCTAATCCGCAGTGTGGTCGCGTGGTGGACTGTACAGAGGCTTTTGCCCAGCAGTGGATCCCGCATAGCCTGTTGCTTCACTTTTTCTTAATTTCATTTTGATAAAATTTCCTTCACTTTAGGATAACATTATCCTGTGTTGTAAGGACGTTTTACAAACCGAAATTTCACGAGGACAAACACCCAGATGCGAAACAACTATCTGTGGGTCGCACAAACAGTTGTCTCGTGTGGGAATCGAACCCACGACCCCCGAAGCCGGAGCCATTACCTTAGCAACTGCGCCACGGACTCATCAATCATGTCGCCTGATGAACTTTACGAGCGCAGACCTGAAATGGCTTCATCGGTACGCACCTGTCGGGCGGCCGCTCGTCCGGGAACAGGGATCTGAACATCTCAATGAGGCGCGGGCTGGAGCGAAGGTGGGGCAGAACGCGCGCTTTGACACCCTCGCTGCTGCCGCTGGCCACAGCGCTAGTGATGGCGCGCAGTATCTTCCGCAGCACGGTCGGCTTCCTGCTGAACGTCGTCTAAAAGGAAACCCTCAAATGACACCACTGTTTCCATTTTCGAAAATTGTAGTCAGTGATGCTTATAAACGATATCTGGAAAATATCGATAGGCCTATTATCCGGGACGATAATCAAACGCAGGATCTTAAGATCCACGGTCGGCTTTCTGATGGACGTCGTCTAAAAGGAAACCCTCAAATAATACCACTGTTTCCATTATGAAAAATAGAAGTCAGTGATGCTTATAAACGATATCTGGAAAATATCGATAGACCTATTATCCTGGACGGTAATCAAGCACAGGGTCTTAAGTTCAACGGTCGGCTTTCTGTTGAACTACTTTAAAAGGAAACCTCAAATAACACCACTATTACTAGTTTCAAAAATAGGGGTTAGTGATGCTGATAAACGGTGAAATTGCTAATCAGAATTTTATGTGCTGAACTACCATGTGCTCAGCTGTGAAGGCATACATCGTGATCGCATTTCAAACCATATTTCAAAAATATGTCAAGTGTATTATAATCATACCCTCTTGCTACGTAGATGAGGTCGGACATGTCAATCATGTTGTAAATTGTATTGGTTGGTTTTCTACGATTAGCCGTCTGCCTGAGGTCAGCGTAGTCAAAAAAGTGAATAATACTGTTAATCGCTAACGTCAACCGTCCTTAATAAACTCACAGATCCGGAACAATAAACTGTGGTTCACACAGTTACTTATTGTGTGGGAATCGAACCCAAGATCGCCGACGCCGAAAGCCAATAGCTTTTAAACTGCGCCACCGATGGATCTATTATCTCTGAGGATATTTCTGCCTAGTTATACGCGGACGGTGTCCATATAAACGTCTTCTAAAAGGAAACTTTTGAAAAAAACACCTCTCTCTCCATTTCAAAAGATATAAGCTAATGCCTTTAAACTAATCCCTAGATAAATATCACTGGCTCTTATTGGGAGTGTTGAAAACATCATTTACTACAATTTAAACGCAAAATTAGAAGTAAACTTATGGTTAAAGCATATTATTCTACGGTGGAATATCTCGACAACTCCAATGTGTGGAGTTAATACTGTTGATACATTACAAACTAACATAGGCTTAAATAAGACTTATACTTGTACCATGTTATACTGTATTGATATTTTAAAAAAGAGCAACTGTTGAGTTTCTTGCCGGTTACTTCTGACCAGACACTGTTTTCCTAACTGGTGGTAACTTACTTATGAACTTGTGATACATTTTTACGTAAAAATTGATGTTTCATAAGAATGTGCAAGTGTCTATTTGAATAAAGATATTTTGAATTAGCATTTATTTGAATAAAGATATTTTGAATTTGATTTTACTGGTATATATAGTCTTGGCTTGTACTTTTTAAAACTAAGCAATTTATTGACAATTAAAAAATCATTTACCAAGACAGATGACAAAAAATTTTCATGATTATAAGACATGTTTTAAATATATGACCTGAGTCAATAATACTTAAATTATTCAGTATGCAACTCGATGCTTCAAAATCCTTGACCTAAATCTTAGGTAATATCTGTATATTCTAAATTGTTTTAGATTGAATGGAGTTTGAGTGACCAAATGAAGTAGAAGCCATATATTTATTACTAAACAGGTTATATATATATATATATATATATATTTATCCCAATGATGATATGTTTTTGTAATTGATAACACTGTAGACTTGATCATTTCATAATGACTCACATTTTGTACGCTAATGACTTAATTCTTTTATATAAATAATAGATGTTTATCTAATAAACACAAAAACTATGAAAAACTGCATATGAGTATTATTATTTATTTAATTTTGAATGTAAATTATATTATTATAGAATTTGATAGTGAGTCTTTACTGTTCAAGTTTTCAGTTAACCTATGGGTGATTTAAACATTTCTACATATTATATCCAAATAATACCATCATTTAATACTTTGTAATTATATTGCATATAATATGAATATCTATTTCATATCATATAAATAACTTCTGGATATTTCTTAATATTTCTTTTGCAATGGAGAGGTTGTAGTTTGTAATTTCTAAACAAGGTAAACAATGTCTCAACAATTGAATATAAAGTATATTATAATAGTAAAATATGTATGTTAAAAAAACTATTGCCTACTTTTTTGTTTGGATAATTAATTTATTTAATAAAAAGTTGTATATATATCAAAATTTATTTCCAAAAGTGGGTAACTTTTCTTACTTACTTTTCAAAATACTATTTTCTTCTATTGCACATAGAATGTACACCCAGTAGAATGTATTTTATATATGACATTTTTATATTTATTGTAATTGCTTCTTAATGCTCTTAGAATTATTTTATTGTTGCTTATTAACTGTACTTTTCTAGTGATATAATAATTGTTATATAGTGGATCATGAACCTCTTGTTTTTCCACCATTACTGCATATTTAATTCTTAAGCCCTACCTTTAATTTCAAGGTTTAACAAACTAATAACTTAATTTAACAAACAAATTTTTTATGACAGTATGTTAAATGAAATTATATATAATCACATTCATAAAAAGTAAATGCATTCGCAATATAGAAATAATAATAATTGACAAACAACTTAAAAATGACAACTTACTTGTAATTTGTTTATAAAATTAGTCATTTGTACCAACATGAAATGGTCCATAAATCTACCAACTTGTGCTGCCTGTCCAGGCTTTAAAAAGAGTAGAAATTCCTCTACAATATCCTTATGTTCCTCACCAAATAAATGTTCTATCTTTTTGTACAGTTCAACAGGAGTTTCCCTAACAGGATCAAAATTTTTCAAAATCTCTTGAAATTGTACAAATTTGTTTGTGGAAACCGTAGAATTTGTAGAAAATCTTAATTGTATTTTCTTGTAATAGGCTCTGACAAGCGCTAAAATAAATTAGAATATCATTATTATGTGGTAAAATATTTGTTATAATTTAAATTTATAAAAAACAGAAGTAAGTAAAGTAAGTAAGTAAAGAAATGGAATCCAGTTTATTAAAATTACTGTGAAATAGTTTTGTACTAATAGTCTCAAAAATAAATTAACAACATTGTAATATTTTATAATTGAATTTCTAAAAAAAGGAATATTGAAAATTAAATTGGCAACTGAATCTATTTATACCTTTCTCTAATGCATTTTCATCCAATTTTGGTGGTTCATTCTTTTTCTTTATATTATCTTTTATCTCTATCTCCTTTGCTAGCGCATTCTGTATTTGCACCTCTTGTTTCTGAGGAGGTGGCTGAAAATACCAAAAAGGAAGTTTATCACAAACTCGAAAGTTAACTTTGGAATATAATTTGGAATCTCATTTTGCGAGGTCAACTTATTACACCTAGAACTAATCGTTAATTAGTAAATACTCTTTAATCTATCAATATATATTGGTATTAATAGTATTTAACACTCAAATTACATAAAATTACAAGCGTAAATTGTCTGACTCACTTCTGGATTAATGGCGGTTTTTGGAACAGAACTTTGACCGAAAAAACTAGTGCTCGGCTCAATTTTATTGCCAAATGCATCTTGACTTTCCCTTGTAAACAGTATTGGCATAGACGGCAACATCTAGAAATTCCTGGCGCAATTTTTTGGAACAACAATGCACAACTAAAAACAATAATCTTCAACCACTGAATAATTACACACGATTTCGAAATATTTGTTATATAAACTGTAACTCGATAATAATGTTTCAAAATATAAAGTATGAACATTTAAAGTATAAACTATATGCACCAAAATACGTAACATAAAATATCTAAACAATATATAAATACAAACTAACGAAATAATGGAAATATTATTGTTTGACAGCGCAGCGACGCGAATGCGACCTGAGCGCGGGCACGTTTCATTTTATGAACAAACTAAAAAGTTTTGAGACAAGAAATTTAGTCATTTTTAATTATTAAACTGTATCAAATGCGTACCAGGATTCAGAAGCTCATACTTAATAATTTTAGAGCAGCGCAACATAATCTTAAAAGACATACAATTACCCAGGAAAAGTTATCGCGCGAAAGGTGAAAAGTTTGAATTGTTATAATTATTATTACAATTCACTTCTTATTAGGTAATTCTGAAGAAGATATTGGTGTATATTTATGATATAGATAGGTACTTCAAACATTTCTGTTTTGTTTTTAATCGATTGATTTACCAGTTATATGGGGAGTTAAGAAAATTTTATACAATAAGGACATTTTCATGCTAATTTCTTAGACTTTCAGTATGTCAAAATTTTCGGAGTAATGTGACCCAGGGCTAAAAAAAACAATTAAATGACAAAGAATTTTGATTATTAATTATTTTAATTATTAAGAAATAATGTTTTTCTTACATATAATAAATAATATTAGAAAAATATAATTAAATAATATTATGTGTGCGATTCTCCATTTAAAGACCACAATTCAGCCTTAATTAAATATATATAAAAATAAATAATGCCGGGGTATATATAATAGGACTTTTAAATTAGTTAACCGTAATTACTCTACTGATTTTTTTTAAAGAATCAAGATCTCAGGCGACTGAATATGAATAAAAAAACCTTATTTTCCTTTTTATTTTCATGTGCTATTTTATAAAACAATTTCAGAAATTTGTGTTAGATTATTAAAATTGACTACCAAATCCTAATTCATTCATAAATTAAGAACCAAAAGTAATCCTACGGGATCATTGATGAACTTACTGATAATGAAAATCTGCTTTTATATACTAATAGATATCAGCGGATCATTCTATAGCTTGAACGTTGTACAACATGAAATACTCTACTGGTGGCAAGTAACGAAGTGGAAAGCGCGAAATCTATTTTCCGAACTAAAATATTCATTTATACTAAAATATTTATTATAGATTAGAGAATACGAAAATTAGATTAGTATTAGAGTAGCGATTTTATCTATATGTTTAGTGAAGATAATCTTTTATGTTATACATATCTTTAATGTTAGTCACAATGTTTTATGTAAATATCTTTTAATGTAATGATAATTCATAAATAATTTTGTCGTAATCGGCATAAAATAATAAATGTTTAAATATTTCTAAAAACAACAAAACTAAACAAAAACAATCGGTGTAGAAAGAAATACTTTGTGGCTATGAATTCCTTAATATCACACAACATTTAAAGACTTTCTAACGTGTGGGTTTTATATGACAAATACCAATATTTATAGACAACTACTTTATTTTCTACAGTTTTATCTATATAAAAATTGTTAAGTTAATCGTGGTTAGCTTTTATGATCTGCCTGATATACATATAGCTTTGGAATATACCTATCATTCATTGACGTCCTCACTTGATTCCAACAATGCCTTAATGTAAAAAAATGTTAAGAATCTCGTAACTCTCCAGTGAACAACCAGTATTTGGCATGACGCTTTCGTTACATATTTCATCTACGTACTGCATTTTAGAATCTGCTCCCTGTAAAAGAAAAATAGTTATTTATTTTTTTTATAGTGCTAATCTCTGTTCTTAAAATTAAACATTAAAATATGTAGAAAAAGTACGAAAAGATTGTCGCCGCTGTGGGAATCGAACCCATTTCTTCGGCATTCGCGGCCTGACGCTTTAGCCACTAAGCTAAACAGTTGATTGCCACAGCGACGAAAATCTTAACGTGTTTTATCTACATTGTTTTTATAGCATTTGAAGCATTCATCCATTGCTATATCCTTTTTACAGTATGTAATATAATGTACGGCATCTCTAAAAAAATTCCTCTAAAAAACAACGCCCACCGCGCTGTAAGAATTTTTCATTGCGCACTTGCTTTAAAAAAAGTTGGTCACCGTAATTGTAGGGCATAAGCTTTTCATAAGTCAATTCCTAACTTACTTCACGGCTCCCTTCATCAAAAGAAAATACCCAAGAAATGTATAGATGTTTGAAAGAAATTACACACAGAATAAATTTTCGAAGTCTGAACGTCTAACAACAGATGGGATTATAACAAACTGATAAAGTCCATCAGGTGTTACGATAAAAGACTGTTACTTAGCTGAACAACTCAAATTATGCATCTTTTTATGATATCATGATATACTAACCATGAATATTTGCACGTTCCAATTTACATTCAGGAATGCTTTGAAATCGGTGCTGCCTTTATCTACTCTATATTAATCTTAATTGAAAAAGTTTTGCTAGAGTTGCTGAATCATTAACAAAATACTAAATATTTTCTTGTTAAATTTTACATGAAACGTCAGTTATTAGGAGTAGTTTTTTTTGTCATTTATTTATTCATTACTTTATGCATACTTTATGCACAAACATTGATGTACAAAGGCGGCCTTAATGCCATCAGCATTTTCTCCCAGTCAACCTTGGGGCGGTCCAGGTAAAGGTAGGTGAATTTATTACCAATTAAAAAAAAGAAAGAAAAGTCTTCATAAGAATTTTAAAATATCTACATTACATATTAAACCTATTAAAATACTACACTAATAATATCAGATAAAACTATACAATACCATACATATGGTAGGTTGACGGTGGTAGGGCTACGCAGCAGCCTCAGCTGTTTCACGAATGGGCAGGCTCGTCCGGGTAAGTACCACGACCTCACAAAAGACCGGCGTAAAGTGGAAGTATAATACTTTCTCGTTTCGTCTGGTGAGTGAGGTAGCCGGAGCCCAATTTTCAAAAGGTTGTCAACGCATCTGCAACCCTCGGGTGTAGCGGATGTCCATGGGAAGCTGTATTCACTTAACATCGGGTGAACCGTCTGCTCGCTTGGCAACTTTTCTCATAAAAAGAAAAAAAATGTATAAAATAAAGTAAACGTATTAATGCATAATGAATACCTACACAACATATACATCTAATATATAAAATTCTCGTGTCACGGTGTTTGTAATTGAACTCCTCCGAAACGATTCGACCGATTTTCTTGAAATTTTGTGTGCATATCGGCCAGGGTCGAGAATCAGACAACATCTATTTTTCATCCCCCTAAATGTTAAGGGTGGTCCACCCCAAACATTTTTTCGACCCTACAAATAATTTATATGGCGACACAACGTTTGCCGGGTCAGCTAGTATATAAATAAATATAAAATATATATTTATTTATATAAATATATCTTTATATTGAACGATTCAGAGAATCTGCTGACAACTTTTTAAGGAAGGACTTTTGGCTGTCCTGATTTTGAGAGGCAGCGCGTTCCACAAAAGGATAGACAACAACAAAGGAGGACGAGTGCATGAAACCAGTATGATGAGAAGGACATTGGAGAAGACTATTATGTGTGGAGCTAAGGTTTTTATGATGGATTGTACAAAGATATTGAAAATGAGGAAATAAATAAGACGGAGTAGAACAAGAATTTAAAAAAGAATAAAGAGTGGTTAGTGCCCTTAAGGAGCGGCGGTAGCGAAAGCTTAGTTTTAGATGGTAAAAATTTTTAAGTCTGTTTAGGGAACGTAGCACACTTGTGACCCTCTGACTGACACTGGCGATTTGGTCTTTCCAGCTCATGGTCATATCAATGAGGTCACATTCTGCCTTATAGGGATCGTACAGTTGTTGAACATTATTGGTAGAAGGTTGCTTAAATCTAATTTACTTATTATACGAAAACTCCAAACAAGAGTGGCCTAACACTTCAAAGGATTGACAGTCAATCCGATTCTATCAGACCACTGTTTTATAGCATCTAAATCTCGGTTGATATTAATGATCACATCTGGTAGACTGTCACAGGTTGCCGAGCGTAAAGTTGTAAACCGTCAGCATAAAAATGATACACACACCGAAGATCAAGAGTAATAAGATTTATCAAAACAGAGAATAGAGAGTTATTACTGCAAATTTAGAAAAAAAAAATAATCTGGTGGATCGGTCGACCGCCGGCAACACACATTTGCTGTCTTTGTCCAACACGTTTGTATAGAACAAAAAATAATGTTTTTTGGACGTACACTTAATAATATATTTTAGGAAAAACTGCGTATACAGAGATAGAGAGGATTTATTCTTAGATATACTATGAGGGTTTCTAATACATGTTACTCCACCCAAGGAGAGCCGTGTGAGAGAAACTTTTATGTGAGCGAAATTAAAAGAAACTGCTAGTAAATTAAATTTTCATCATGAAATTCATCCGAAAGCGAAACGCCTATCTTCTTATTCTTAGTCGTTCCCTCACTGCTGAGGATCGTGACTCTTATTTAATTGGTCAACGAGCTGTCTCCATCGGTTTCGCTCCGTCGCCTGGTGGAGTGCCGCGCTTATGGGGATTTTCAGGTGTTTTGAAATTTGAGCCGCACACCGTTTAGGAGTACGGCCTCTAGGTCTTTTACCCTCTATCTTTCCCGTCACTCTCAAACGCTCAAAGGTTGTCTGCACATCTGCGTGCAATATGGCCAAAGTATCGCACTATGCGCCGCCTATAGGCAGGAGTCTAATAAGTAGTGGACAACGTGGACAATAGTTTGTCGGGTGTTGAATAATTAAAACCACCACCCATGAACGTGTACAAAATCCGTGGGCTAACAGGTTCATTGCCAACCTTTTAGAAAGCAGGGCAAGCCCTTTTAATGCAAGAATGAAATACCCGGTTCGGTTATTAGTAATTCATTTATTTATACTGCATTGCTGCAACTTATAATGGCAAAAATAAGCGGGTTTGGTGCTAAGTGGTATTCTCTACCAGTCAATTTTTAACATTGTAATAAGTAGATGGAAAGTGCAAATACAAATCGAAAATGTGATAAACCGAATAAAGTCCATGATTTATTAGGTGTTTTCGAATTAATTTCCTAAAAGTATATTCATAGGTTTTGATCTTATAAGCGATCTTACGATTGTATAATATGGAACGAGGTACGGTGTCAGAATCAGGTTGAAGACCCTGTATATCATAATATCTTCATATTGGAAGGTAACGGCCTCAATTTGATTATACCGGGGTTTATAATGTCGAATCTAAACTTTACTCTACGAATACTTTGAATAGTCCAAGAGTAAAATGCCCTTGTAACGGAGTTTGATCTTGTCACTAGAATTTAGAAGCCAAAAGAATGAAAGCCTGATAAAAGAAATGCAAGTTTATGCACTGACTTTAAAAAACCGGCTGAGTGCGATTCGGACTCGTGCACGAAGGGTTCCGTATCATTATCTATAAAAACGGAAAAAATAAATACTAAAACATTTTTTAGTATTTGTTGTTATAGCAGCAACAGAAATACATCATCTGTGAAAATTTCATACCGTGATACTTGTCTTTCACGGTTAATGAGATACAGCCTGGTGACAGACGGACAGACAGACATACTGGCAGACAGACAGACATCGGAGTCTTATTAATAGGGTCCCCTTTATACTTTGGTAAGGGAGCCCTAAAAAGGTCGTCAACCTTTGCTAAGTAAATGCATATCTTTTAAATATTGCTCGATTGTTATAGCAACAATGAACTTTTTTATTTTATTTTCTATTACATTGCTAAGGCCCTTGTTTTGCCAGTATTATTTATATTGTTGTGTACAAATTCGTTGTCTGGAAACGGTATCGATTTATTAAATACAACTCGCAGATACCGCAGCGCAGCAAAAGCGATTAGTTCTATATAATACACAATGAATAGTTCCAATATTAATTGCAATTTTAAAAAGTTTAGATATCACAGTGATTGTGAATGACTTAATACTTGTTAAGAGTGACCAAAAATTTCGTTAACGCCAGCTTAAAATGGCTTCGATAATACCCAGAGATATAGCAAACGGGGTAAGTAGTTGTTTTATTAATACAAAGTTAATTTAACCATAACATAACTAACAAAGGTTATTAACACCTGCACACAGAAACTTAATCGTGTTGTATTTATCATTTATTAAATTAGTTCATTTACGAAGTTTTTTGGATTTATCACAAGTGCTGACCACAAGGAGATGCACTGTCAACTGTCGACATTATGACCGGTCAAAGGAAGCCTAGTTTGATTTTATTAAGAAAGTAGGTACGTCGTTAGTTTGTGAAAATTTTCGCGGGCCCCGTGACTGAAGAACTCTGTACTTTACTGTCTATATCAACAAGGCGACGCTATACAATGTACACGAGGTCCCTTCAAAAATAGTGCTTCTCACAACCAGAAAACGATAGACTGGCTAAAACCAGAAAGTCGTTAATAACTTTTATTTTATTTCTTTATTTTATTTGGTACATAAAACAGCAAACAACAGCAAAAATATTATTAACTTATAAATTTCCGCCAAAAAAACTACATGCAAAATTAAACAAAGGTATAAATTAAAAAAAAAAACCAAAAGACAAAGGTATTAAAAATAACTAAATAAAAAGTAAAAAATAAGAAAAAAATAAAAACATTATGTGCCTCGAATACTTCTAGGCACATAATGTTTTATTGTTCATTTAAGGCACACAATATATTTACTGATTCAACAATGGTTGTAAGTTTGTTGTACAAGGAACACATTCTAGAGATAGGTCATTTTGGACAAATTTGGTACATAGTGGAATATTTAATAATTTGGCATTACGACTACGATATTTTGTATTCATGTCTATTTTAGCTAATAACTCAGAATGGGGTTTTACAATAAACTAGGTAACATCCAGAATAAACAACTAAGTAAGTGTAAACATTTTCAAACATTTTGCAAAAGCTACCATAATGGCAAAGGTCTATTATTATGTCCAAGAATACTTACACAAGACAAGGATGTGTGGAAATTACCTCCCTTGCTCTGTACTTGCAAGTCCCCTGGCTGCTGATATTATACTTATATAATAATTATTATTATATAAGTATAATATCAGCAGCCAGGGGACTATTATATTTATTATTATTATGATATTAATTATACTATTAAAAATAATTGTGTATACTTGTATCATTTAAAAAAAGAGATAACAAGACCGCAGAGTTCTTGCTGGTTCTTCTCTAGTCAGATCTACTCGTAGTTTAGTGAAACGGTAGTAGTTTTTTGACGTTCAATCAAGAGCTTAAATAAAGCTTAGATTGAATAAATAAATTTTGATCAAAGGTACAAACATCGGCTTCGATTGCACCTAAACGGCTCCATCGAAGTTATAAAACATCATTTTCACTCGCCTCTGACGGATGAAACTATAGGAATGTGAAAAGTCGATACCTAACATGCCGCTTCTAACTAAATGATTTTCGTAAACATCGCATAAGTCGATATCATATCGCGTCATGATTTTCGTTTTTCCCAAAATCTTTAAGATTTAAGCACCGTTTTTCCATACAAACGTAGTCAGTATGAACTGTCTAAAAATTAGTGATTATTATGTTAAATTATCATTCTTGTGGTCTACATCTGCGTAATAAACTAAGAAATAGGTAACTCGAATATTTCTCAGATATATCAGTAAAAGAAGACTGGCAATGGTTCATTTTGACTACCGTTCCTGCCTGTTGCGTTTAAATTAATTTTACTGCCTGTAATTTGTCTCTAATTAGCACTAAGTTTTACAATTACGCCACTATAAATTTTTATAAGATTTAATTGTGGATATAGGTATGTACTAATTAACCTCATTATGTTTAAATTTGGCCAAAAACAAAATAATTACGATTTCAATTATCAGTTCGTTTTTGTAATTAACCGGCAATATTGAAAATATGATTATAGTATTTAGTACAGAAATACGTACTATAATAAGATTTAGGAAATTATCAATTTTAACAGATTTTCTAATTTCATTCATCATTTCTACGCACTTGGTTTTTAACAACTAAGTACCTACACAAACTCTTTGTAATACCTTAATGACATTAAGTTACGGTTATGTTAAACGGTATACCTCCTGTATACGTATATATGTTTAACATAAAATCAATAGGAAATATGAAGAATTTAGAAGTTTCAGTATGTACCTATCGTTTCCTACGATCTCGTAGCATTGATAAAATCGCAAAAGATATCCTTTATTTGAAACTGTGCATTCCTGGCCTTGTAGAGCGGAAGCAGCAAATAAAGTAGTTTCCAATAAAGAGTTCAGTGAGCAACTGAACACCGTTTCAAATCAAAGTCCCTTTGTGAAAACCTGACGTCTGTAAGCAGTAAAAAACAGTGATAATGTCAGAAGAAGTGAAGGATAAGGATTTTGATAGTAAAACCGTGAAAGTCGTAAATTTAGACGAACTTGACCTTAAGACTCAAGAGGCACTGACGGAAGTGTGTGATGAAGTAAACATTTTTTTTAGTTTTGTATTAATTCTCATAACCTTTAATACAATCTATACCAACCTTAAATAAAAAAAAGGATAAAAACTCAACCTCAAAGGCAAACATATAGAAATAAAAACTAGTATGAGTTATAAATACCAGCTGACAATTTTTACCTAGCCTTTTTTTTTAAATAGCCAACTCTTCGCTTTGATTAGATGCATTTCATTTTAACACAGATTTAGCATTGTTTTTAGATTAAACAAAAGTTGCTATTAGATTAATCATTAAATCCATGTTGGAAAAAATATTATTTATTATCGCATTTACTACTATTACTTAAAAGACATCATCTTGAAACTGTTTTTAAAATTATGATTTTTTTTAAGGTGGCAAACGAGCTGGCGGTTCACCTGAAAATGATGCCCGCCGCCCATTGACATTTGCAATTCCCGTAGGGTTGCAAATGCGTTTCCTTTTAATATAGCCCCAGCCACCTCACTCACTAGACGAAATGCAGAAGTATAACTCTTCCTTCACGCCTGCTTTGTGTGACGTTGTGGTACGTACCCGGACCTGCCCATTCGTGCAACAGAGAAGAATGTTACCCTACCACAGTGTAGGTTTATTGTATCTACGCGTCTACGCAAGATGTCTTACAATATGTTTGGTTTTTTTTATAACTGATGTTAACGCTTTCAGTCCCGAGACTATTAAAGTTTCATCGAACGCCGAACCGGTGGGCTAGCTAGAACCCACGTTTGAGGCCCTTCACTGTTGGTAGGGCCACGCACATGCTCATGCGTGCGTTGGCTAAGTTTACAATATGTGTTTCCTTTGTTGTAGCTCAAAGGTTTAGACGCGAATCGCTATGCTACGAAGAAAACGGTCGCACAGGGCATGCTGGACATCGCCCTACTTACATCGAACGCGTCTCAATTGAAGTATGTCCTCCAAGTGGGACAGAAACACGAGTTTTACACTCTGCTGGTGGTCCTAATAAGCATATCGATTGTGCTGCAGGTGAGGTTAGGTTAGGTTAGTAAAGTATACAACAGCCTATATACGAGTGTGTCCCATTGCTGGACAATGGCCTTCTCTGTACAGAGGGCATCACTGCGGATCGGCGGACTTCACATATCTTCCAAATATTTTTTTTTATTTCGAAAATCTAAAAAAATTTTTCTCACGATGTTTTCCTTCATAATTACACGTACCAATTTCATTTGTGCAGTATATTGAAAGCAAGCGCCCGGACATTGAGCTATCACTTTAATAACTTTACGTAAACTATGATCACGAAATCTTTTTTATATAAGGCGCAAGTTACTAAGTAATAAAACTTATAAACTTTTACGTTTTCATCATATATCTAGAAACCAATATATCTAGCACCTACCATAATAAATAATAATATTCTATAAATAACAGCAGTGGACTCAAACAGGCTGAAATGATGATGATGATAAATGTAAATAATAATTTCTATATTTTTGACAAACTTTGTAAGGTCAAGACCTGTAAATCCACAGGTTTTTTAGGTGTTCATTTGTACAGGTGGTAATCACTTAACATCCGGTGAACCGCCTGATTTCTTGCTATTCTTCGCCATGTTATTATAATGTCGGTTTAAATAAAAATTTTACGGGGCAATGACTTCGTCACAAGCAAGAAATCTCTCTTTGTATTTTAATCAATGCTGACGCTATTATGCAATAGAGCAATTAAGTTTCTTTGCGTTTTCTCACCTTTTTGTTTATATGCGATTCCGTGCGCCCGCACAAGTAAGTATGTCAATTAGACTTGCCAGAATATTAAAATTTTAAAATTTTTTACTTTACTTTCGTAAATAAACGAAGGAAATAATGTATTTCGGGAGTTTGCAGTAAAATCATGATCGACCGATTAGACACCTTCCTATTTTTAAAGCATTTTAGTAGATACAATATTAAATAGCCGATACTCGCGACTACGTCTGCGTTGCTTATTATAATAACAACTACACCGCTTGACCCACTTCCCCAAATCCCTACAGTAAACAAGGAATAAAAACACGCATCACTGCATATACAAATAGTGGTTTCTTACGTTTTTTATATAAAAAAAAGTAAAGGAAAAGCCTATATACTTACTGCTGGGCAAAACCTCTGCCTCTGTACAGAGGGTTAAAGGGTATTGGACCACGAGACACCACTGGGGACTTACATTCCACATCATCGTTATCATTTCAGCTTGTTTGAGTCCAGTAAAATATTTTCAAAATGTAGTTCAAAACTATCTTTTTTGTCATTTAAAAATATGCCGGTTTCTTCACGATGTTTTCCTTCACCGCTGAGCACATGGTGGCGGCGGCGGGTTGGAACTCAGGCTGCTCGAGTATATTGAATTAAAAACGAGCTGAGCTAATATTTTTATAAATTTACTCTAAAATCACATTTTTTTTAAATAGGGCCCATGTGTCTATCTAATAGTTTTTCCGTGGCGATGATTCGGCACAAATGAAAGCCATTTTATTTGCGTACTACGATTGATAGTTAGTTATAACAACTTAATATTAAAATTTGTAGAAAAAAGTACGAAAAAGTTGTCGCCGTTGTGAGAACCCAACCAACGTGATCGGGATTCGTATCGTACTTTTTTTCTACAAATTTTAATGTTATTAAGTGCAGATGCACTACAAAATTTTAAATTTCTAATAACTTAATATTTGAAAATAAATTACATATAGATTTCGATTTGTGCTATGTTATTTTAATTGCTATCATAGATAATTAAATATAGCTGGAACATGTACAAAGGTGTCTTTAGGTGGCGATGGGACTGGTGCTATTGTCGTTGAACCTTCTTCGCGACTGCCGTTTCCACGAAGCACGGCACAGAGTCTCCGCTCTGAACATCAATTACGCGACCACAGCGATAGCATTCGTTGTGACCGTACTTAATGTGCTTGTTTCGGCCTTCGACTCGTCTCTGGCCAGATATTTAGAATTCGACTCAATATATAAGTGAAATTAAGTTGTATCATTTAAAAAATATAACACAAGAGGGCAAGCTCTAAATATTCAACCCTGACGCAAAAAAATATTTAACTAGTCATTTTTAATAACCTCAGATTTAGACATAAAATTTATTTTTTATGGCGTTTAAACTTTAAAAACGATGTTTTTTTGTATATTCAGTTGCACAAATAATGTTCACACTTCAAAATTATAATAACCTTATATTTTCCTGTTAATATGATTCTGGTCAGAAATAGTCATTGTCGTTTTATAATTCATTTTTTTAGATTATTATTTTAAACTTTGTAGCTACTCGTCGGGCTGTTGTTCGTTGTAATCGGCGGTCTCGACCTCAACGATCATGAAGACCAACCTTCCGCTCTGATCCTTAATGACGTCATCGTCATTTTTATATTTGTCATTTCCGTGATCAATATAGTTATTTCTGCTTTCGGAATAGAATATTCAAACAGTCCCCTAGTTTTAGAACGTTTACAATTTATAAACCGTGAATATCTAAGAAAATCCAATGTAACGTCCTCCTAACAAATATTACAAAGTAACTACAAATATTACAAGGTATCTGTATATTCACGAGTTTTCACGAGTTAAAATAACTCTGTATATTTATTTTAAATGGCGTTAACAATGGAAACATGTCTCAGCCAATATTAGTCACCTTAGATGATACTTATAGTAATACTTTCAAGCGTTTAACTGGAACAATCGTTTTTTTTTTGTAATTTAACATGTTACTGAAAATATTTTTAATTATACTGGCAGTTACATGAACTATAGCCGTCGAAATACTTGAAGGTGGTAAAGTGAACTTGAAAGAACGTATAGGTATTAATAATAATTTTATTTAGTTAGGTTTTTTGGAAGTTCTATTCCCTTAGTACATTTTCTTTCTGATGCAGGCTATCGCTGGAATCCTGGCTTTAATAATTTCATCTTTGGACGGTGAACATAACGAAAAGCAAAAGAAGATGGCCGATGGCCTATACCACGTGTCATTAGCTTTAATGACTGGTGTTGTTTTCTGCGACGTCATCAAAATGACTTTCGGATTCGACCCGGCTCTCTCAGAGCAAGACTACTATGGGAATAGGGCTTCAAATATGCAGTCGTAACAATTTAAGACGTAGAAATAACGTTTTCGCACTTTATTATATAACTTTTAAAGTACTACTTTATTTATCACATCAATGTCACTTTTTTTTGGATTTCTTAATTTTTCTTTACTTATTATACATACGATGTTTTATTTCCTCTTTCATATCTATTATAAGCTCATTTTGTTTAATTTTAATATTTTTATTTTTATCATTTCTTTTTTTTTCTTAGGCGATATCAGCTGTAGTTGCTGCAGTGCTCAGCCTGATTTTCAACATAAATCACTTCCGAGATCAAAAAAAGGCGGAAATATTAAATAATATTAGCCTAGTGTTCAAAATTCTGGGCATCACTTTAAATGTCATCATAAGTGTATTTTATTCTATGCAAATGGAAGATTATGTCTGTATAAATGTAAAAGTATGATAACTATGTTTATTTATTTCTTATTTTCATAATTTATATTAAAATCAAACCTTACAGTATATCTAAGTATTAGGATGATTTGTGTTTCCACTCCGGGACGTTGTGGTGATCTATAGCCATAGGTCATAATTATACTCTTATTTTTATATTTTTTGTATTATGTTCTATTTTATTTATTTACTTATATGTTTACTTTTCGGTTTAGCACCTGCCATCCACTTCTCACCATGACAAGGGTTGATTGGTAGAGAATGACATTAGGCATTAAGTCTGTTATTGTATCCTTTAGCCTCAGGTGTAACAATGAAGTATAAATATATAAATAAAAATATACCAGTAAAGCTGTACTACATTGGTGGGGTAGCTCTAAAAGCACTATAAAGTCGCTCTCTCTGATTCAGGCCTCTTTAACTCTAGTATACAATATTTTTTTTTCATTTTTAGTATATTTTTAGATTTGAAAATCCCAGGAGCAGAATATATATTTTTTTTAGTCATACGTTTTTATTATCACTGGAATTCAATTCAACACAGGGAAACTGCCATGATGCACAGATTATGCCCATGCAAATTTTACAGTGAATTATAGTTTTAACTTAGAGCTTTTGGGAGCGATTTTTTTTCGATAGTGTAATGTATGTAATAATAGCATAGTAATAATTTTATCAATTCAGCATAATGTAATGTATTGTTTATAAAAAATGTGTGAAATCTTGTTTGCAAAATTGTGACCTCGTTGTACACTTATTTACCTATACATTTCTTAATAAATGTAATTAAAATAAATGCACATGTGGCGTTTTATTTTATACCAATCTAAAAAAAGCTTTAACTTTAATACTTTTATTTCGTATAAATATAATGTACAATTCTTAAAGTTGTTAAACTGTAATTTGTCTTAATGTGTAGTTAGACACTAGTTTTTTTTTTTAATTTAATAAAGTGCAAAAAGAAGGAGTACAATAAAATTATGACTAGTGAACTTTTGAATTTTTTAATAGAAATAGAAATAGAAATTTAAATTTTTAATATCTGCATATAATATAATATCTTAACGATAAAATTTTTCTAGAAAAAGTATGAAAAGATTGTCGCCGCTATGGGAATCGAACCCACGTCTTCGGTATTCGCGGCCTAACGCTTTAGCCACCAAGCTAAACGACTGATTGCCTCACCGACGAAAATCTTAACGTCTTTTATCTAGATTGTTTTTATAGCTCCCGTCAGATTCGGTTTCCGATTAACTTGTTCCGACCACTGTAACTTTTGCGGGAGTCCGTCCAGAGGACAGGCGCGTAAGGGGTGTGATGTTCTGCAAGTTAGATTGTGGTAAATTGTCCGTTCTTTGTACATTCGAAGAACCAACCGGACCACGTACTAATTGATGGATTTCATTTTAAGGTCATGGGTTATTACATCTTCACTGACGTAACGCCCAGGCCCCACGATCTCTAAAGGATGAGGTTCTGTTGCGCCTGGAGTCTGGTTTTCTACGTGCTATCCGATTCGCATTCTCGCATTTGACCGCATGGCCTCGTATCTCAGCCGTGGATTGCCTCACTATATGCTGGATATAAATGGCGGAATTTTGTCAATTTTGATTAACATCCGCTATTTATCCAGCTATTAGGGTGGCAGGGCCAGTAGGAGCTGTAATTTCCTCACCAAATTCGCCGTCTCGTGTGAAGACTTGAAGAAAGCACTTTTTAATCCTAATAGTACCTCTTCATTCTAGTCGAGCGTTATGCTCCATGGCGATAATGTCGTTCGTGTACAATACATAGTGTGGGGCTAGGCTAAGCGACCGGGTATGTATTGTTTTTGTTTGTTTTGTTAACATGGGGGAAATGCCTATGCAATACGCATACCCACCCTCACGGAAGCAAGAGCGGGTTATGTTGGACTCGCACCGACTAAAACCCCCACAATGTTTTACCTAGGTGCATATCGGCAGGGCCACGGGAACGCTTTCGGACACTTCTGAGATCCTGCCAGCACTGGCCACCTCTGTAGCCCTGCTCAGGAAGCACCTTGGCCAGGTAAGGCACCACTGGAGCATTAAGCGCGCCTTCCTACTCGGCCTCTTGTTTACTGCCAACGAACTCCTCGAGTTCGCTGACCAGAGGCCGTAGGGGCCAGGAAAGCCAGAGCTAATAAACAGCAAGCCTCCCAGCCCTCAGTGGCGGATCTGGTTTGTGGCTCCACCGCTCACCACGTTTCCGGCGTGGAGGGTAGGGAGAATGGCGCAATACCGGCACTCTTCTTGCTCCATGACTCTACTTCGGTAGCAGGGGACAGGAAGGTTTGCTACACCTCTCCTACCGTCAATCCGTTCCCTGCACCCTCCTCGCTCACTTCCAAAGCGGGCTCAGTGAGCCCACTTGGAGCGGCCCTCTCGGGCCGACCTTACACCACAAGCCGGCCCAGTGGATTCCCCTTGGCCTCGCAAGCACGGCTATAAAATTTATATACCCCTCCGCCACGACAAGTCGGGAGGCCGGTCGTTGGGGATACATATTCATACTGCGTGGAGTTTAAAAATTGTTCCGCTTTACATTATATGACATATATAAGTATGGTAGGGAAAGAAATAGCAGTCTATAGAATTATAATTTAATTAAACCAATTGGCATAATTTGAGTGCTTCAGTTTTGGTGCGCTAGTGACATATGTACAAGTACAGTATCTCAGTATCTCTTATATGTATATAATATCATTTTTCATAGGTATAATTATTTCTCGATAGTAAATTGTTATTAGCAATTTATTTAATTCGACATAAGTATGTTTGCGATTAATTTGCAATTTCAACTGTATTAATTTCTTTGGATGGATACCATTATCGATGGCGCTCCAAGCCGAGTTTCGGAACTCCATTGAGAGGTCCTTAGACCGCAGCCCCGCCGCCTTTGTTGCACCCTTAAGATGCAGCAGAGCGGATGGAATCATCACTTCTTCGTTGTACACCAGTTACGTTGTTTCTCCTGAGTTCACTGAAAAATTTTACCGTAGATGTCTGACGTATATAATAATTTGCTAAGAAGATATCAGCTATTATGGTTATACGAATCGCTTTATCAGTCTGGCGAAACTAGGAACAAAAAAATTTTCTATGGACTTTACGCGGCAAATAATGGCGGACATTGCTATCACTCTCCCTCAATGCAGTTTCTCTTTCTTGCAATACAAGAAGTGCCATGTTGTTTGTCAAAATTTAGTTTTGCACCGCGTATTTTGAATGTAAATGCTTATTTCATTGTAAATTTAAATTGTTTAGAGCAAACTTGCTCACGAAAACTAGTGACAGGTGATCAGAATTTACTTTTAATTCAAAATGCCAAAAAAACGGTTTATTACCTGTGAAATTGGTGAAAATCGAGCAAGTCATTCGAACCTTGAAAACAGGATGTTTATGGCGAGATTTCTCTTAGATGAAGCCCGTGAAAGCACTTAAATATGATACTTTGCAGCCATATGTAAATAGAGCTGGCTAAGAACAAATAAAATTAACAAATTTATCTCATTTAAATTGTGTTCTAGTGATGTACTGCAACTGTAATATCCACATATCGATAACTGCGTTAATGTTTATCATTGAAAAAAAAATAAGAAATAAAATGTTGCGTGAAAGAGTAGGGGCACAAAGTTTTACATATTTGAATGGTGTGCCTACATAAATGAGCAAGGATCGGAATAGGTGAATTTTGCAGGATTTTGAAACATAATCTTTGTAATATTGATACGTCATATAATTAATTTCGTGCGCTGAGTACGCAAGAAAACTAAAATCATTTTTAAAAAAAAATTCTATTTTTATGTTTCAATTATTTCCAGACTCCAGCAGGATCTTTGTGGTATTTTTGTGGTATGGTTGGTATTGGAGTGCCGCGTAAACTGATATTTTTGGCTAGTATGGAAGTCCCGTCTCTTAAACGTAGTGATTACATTCTCTTTGCGCTTTATATATAAAAATCATTATAGATTATCCCAGCAATTCAGCAGACTCAAAAACAATTAAGTAAAACCCACAGGGTGACTGGAAGCAGAAGCCACAAAATTAAATATGTAAATATTTAATTTTGTGGCTTCTGCTTCCAGATTTAATCGAAAAAACCAAAAATTGTAATTATTTTTAATGCTATATATATTTTACGGACTTTATCGCATTGAATATATTCTAGAATAAAAAAATAATTATAATATTTTATATACCTATTTGTATTTTAATGAAGATACAAATAAACCGAATCATACTTTGAACTTTCATATTTTGACAGAAAAAGGGACAGCTGTCGACCTGTTGAATGTTAATTTGTTACAACTGGTTACAACTTACATGTTATGTTAAATAAAATGCGGCTTCAATAATGAATTTTGCTCTCTAATTTCGAATAATATTTTACGTCCATTAAAACATTTTGTGGCGAAATAGAACGTTTTCCAGTATTTGTGTGATCTGTGACATACTTCGCGTTTAATATAGCAAACGCAAAACTGTTATGTAGTAGAATTGTAGGACCAAGCACTGTGAAGCACTGCCTCTAAGGAGTAGAAACGCCTAATCAATAAAAAAGGCAAACGTGGCTTACTGTGCTTTGAACTTCATCTCTGTTGCAGTTGAAAAACGAAGTTTCTTTAACATTTTTAACCTTCATGGTATACTGTTATTTGTGCCATATTGATAAAAAGTGATTGTTGAGTGTCGAGGCTACCGCAACTAGCAGCTTGTGGTTTCCAAACGTTTCCATTCGAGGGCTCGTAATTTTAAATTCGTTACCTTGTGGCACTTGAATTCTGCCTTAGTTAATTATCAAACGCGGAGTCGATAGGACGTATCAATGGCAACCGCTAGAATAGTTGTTTACGGAGGACGTGGTGCATTAGGAGCCGCATGTGTTAACCATTTTAAAAAGGCTAATTGTTGGGTTGCCAGTATTGATCTCAATCCAAATGAAAGTGCAGATTTGAATATTACGGTTCCAAAGGACGCATCATGGCTACAGCAAGAGGAACATGTTGTTAAAGAACTGGACACGGCACTACAAGGTCAAAAAGTGAATGCAGTTATATGTGTAGCTGGTGGTTGGGCAGGAGGAAATGCAGTGAAGGACCTTAGCAAGCAGGCAGATTTAATGTGGCGCCAGTCAGTGTGGAGTTCAACCATAGCAGCCACAGTTGCGGCTAAGTACTTAGCTCCGGGTGGGTTACTTGCTTTGACTGGTGCTAAAGCTGCTTTAGAAGGTACACCTGGTATGATTGGATATGGTATGGCTAAAGCTGCAGTGCACCAGCTAACAAAATCCCTTGGAAGTAAGGATTCTGGCCTTCCAGAAAATTCACTGGCAGTTGCTATAATGCCCGTTACTCTGGATACGGAAATGAACAGAAAGTGGATGCCTAAAGCCGATTTCAGTTCATGGACCCCACTTTCATTTGTTGCTCAGTTGTTTGATAAGTGGATTAAAGGAGAGGAGCGCCCTGCAAGTGGTAGCTTGGTAGCTCTGGTCACTAAAGATAACATCACTGAATTAATCGTTCAATAATAATAACTTAGACATGTATATATAAAATTGTCACTGCAAAAGCTTTTGATGTTGTTAATCATATACTTTAAATAATATTATTTATAAAGCAAACAATCATAATGTTAAATATTATTAATAGTTAAAACATAGTTTGCCAGCAGTGTATCTCACTATATTTTGATTTAAATGGTGCAAACAAATTAATGAATGAAAATAAATATGTTTTACAACATTTATGTATTGCAATTTTAATAAAAGGTTACTTTTTATCACTTGTTTCTTTTAACATAAATATATTTTTGTATATAGATTGTTTATGTGTAAGAATTGCATGCACTTGTTATGAATATTATATAGATAACTGATTTTTATTAAGTTTTTCTTAGAATAATTAATGAGTCATTTGATGACACCACATATAAGGTATTTGTTGTAAGTTTTCCTTAACAGAGAATTACTGTTTGGAAATCCCTTAATTTTTCAAACATTAAAGCTTCCCTTACACTCTACCAAGGTATTACTTATCGTGTTACTAATTATTTATTTTAAGAAATAAATCAAATGACTACTTTAGTGAGATACATTTATACAGGAGTTTTAGTAAATGAGAAAAGCAGGGTAGTAAAAAATTCAGATTCATTATTTTAGTAATACAGGTTAAAGTCCATAAAACATCTTATATCATATAATATATCCTATAAAAGTAAAAAAGTTTTAATAAAAGTTTATTTTTATTTTAACTGCTTCTGTCAATTTCTAATACAATTTGTTCAAACATATAAATATTTAGCTAGGTTTTTTAATACTTTTTGACTATAAAGTCATTCATGATTTCATATCCATTCTAGGCCTTATTGACAGTGAAAGATGGAATCGCATACAGATATAAAATGATTAGTAAAAACAAGGCTAAATATTAAAAAATCGACTTCTTCAGCCTTGTAAGTGTAGTAAAATTAAAAAACAAACAATATTCTGTTCTGTCAGGTATTATAGTTTTTGTGCTTGGGAAATTGTGTAGTACGGTTACGTCAGTAACTGTATGGAATTTACGCCAGTTTCACCAACCAGTCCACACAGCAAGATTTGTGTTTTCAAATTTATTCATTCTTATGATTTTATTCAAATTAAAAAATATCTGCATTTCTTTAAAGTTTAGATTATATACCTACGTCGTATAAATAATTTAAGCTTTAAGCTACATACAAGTCTCAGAATGGGTAAAGATAAATTTATTTGACGATAAAAATGAATACCTATCACAATATTGTTACGACATTTAAGAACTATGACCTTATAATCTAGAATGTTATTGACAATGAACGAGATTGAAACAAGGTTAAAATTTTAAACAGGTTCAGTGTCTGCTCAAATCTCTATGTAAAGAACCATAAAAAATTTAATGGTCGTTGTGTCTTTTTAAATTAAAATGGAGGCATATATTAATATTTAGTATTACATAGATAATCGTAGTTATTCGTCCAGGAGTGTTCCTTTTTCCACCAGCCCAACTACTGCAGTCTCTTATCTGTCGACCTTACCCTACTTGTAGATATCCAGAGTAGGTTCAATGAGCCCTCTCGGGTATTGTGTGGACATTATCATTCGAAAGGAGGTCTGGAGATCAGGGCGCCGAAGATTGGCTCACGTGCGCAACTTTCACCCATGATACTGGGCTCCCGGCGTCAGGCATGAGGTTGTTGCCGCTCATTACGGGGCTTGCGACGGGTGCTGTGCTAATTGCACCGGTACACACTAGACTTCGTAGAATAACTAATTCTTTTATGGGACAATGTATAGATACCTTTTTACAACAATATCCCAGAAAACGTTCACAATGAATCAATTTCTAAATTCAAAAAAATTGTAATGGAACGTTTGTGTGTAGGCTATTGTAATGTAAGTGATTGTTTAAACTTTAAATGATAACACACCCTGGAAATGAAGTGATCGCTCGAGGCTCTTTCAAGTTGACTTCAATTCATTTGTAAACATGTCTTTGTTTTGATAAATAATGGCAACCTAACCGTGGTAGGGCCACGCAGCAGCCTCAGCTGTTGCACGAATGGGCCGGCTCGTCTGGGTAAGTACCACGACCTAACAGAAGACCGGCGTAAAGTGGAAGTATAATACTTTCGCGTTTCGTCTGGTGAGTAAGGTAGCCGGAGCCCAATTTTCAAAAGGTTGTCAACGCATCTGCAACCCTCGGGTGCAGCGGATGTCCATGGGAAGCTGTATTCTGTATATTTTCGAAATAATAACAAAAACACAGGAGGCCTTAGGCCAGCAGTGAGACATGTATAGGCTGATACTTTAGTTGTAAATGTAGTTGCTACCCACTTATAAATTTAGACATGTTATTTATAAACAAAGTTCAACTAGTAAGCGACATTTGCAGGAAAAATCTGAGGCTTATTTCGTACTCCTAATTTATATTATGTCGATTATGACTTATATACCTACTAAGTAACTTTTAAGTTAGTTGCAAATGAGTTTCTTAATGTCTTCACAAATATACCTTGTGAAACTACTAGACATTTGCAACACTGTCCCACAGAGGCAGTAACATATCTCGATAAATATGTTAATATTTTTATTCCAGATTTAAAATTTTGTCACATAGGCCCGAATGATATTATTAAAACATTTAAAAATGTAAATAAAGAGAAAACAGAAGACTTGTGGGACTTATCAATATGGGCAATTGATCTTATAATATGACATTGCTCGCACATTAGCCCAAATATTTAATACATGTTTAGACAGTAGTAAATTCCCAAAGTTAATGAAATATAGTAAAGTTGTACCAGTATATAAATCGGGTTCGACAGATAATGCCTCTAATTACCGTCCCATCTCTATGTTGCCGGCCTTAAGCAAAGTGTTTGAGAAAATAATGATGGATCAAATGATAGTTAATTTTAACAAATATAAAACTTTCTATATAAAGCTTTCATGACACCATTGGTGTGTCCTGTGACCGTTCCAAGGCATTTGACTGTGTAGATCATACAATTCTAATTAGGAAATTGGAATATTATGGTATTCGCAATTGTGCCATTGACTTAGTTTCCTCGTATCTTACTGACAGGGAACAAAAAGTAATCATAAATGGTACGGTATATTGTCAACGGGGACAAAAATAAAAATGGGCTTTCCTCAAGGATCGATCCTGGGCCCTTTTTTGTTTTTAGTTTATATGAATGATTTGCCATATACAGCGTGTCTTTACCATCGCGACAATAAATGAACACACGTCTAACGTTACTTGCCAATAATCATAAAAAATTATAAACGTTAAAATAAAGTCATAATTAAAAAAATTCAAACAAACTAATTAAGTTAAAAAGAAAAAAATTTGTAACATCCTATATAACTACAACCGACCGATTCATACATTCAGAGACTTTTTCATTCATTGCCACAGCGTTGCATTACAAGCCTCTCCTTCTAACAGTATGTTTTGTCTCTTTCAATTCATTCAACCCATTCATATGCTTTGTGACCTTTACAAATGCACTTTACGTTACAGTTTTATACGTAAGGATGTTCTATAATTGTTTGTTTTCTATTATTTTATAACTCTGTAAATATTGATGTTTAAAGAATGTAAATTTTTCATAAAATTTAAAAAAGTTATCCTCTATATGTGTGTTCATTTATTGTCGCGTTGGTAACGACACGCTGTATAGTGGAAAAAAGGTCTCAAATTGTTTTGTTTGCGGATGACACTTCACTATTGTTTAAAGTTAAAAGGAAAGATGATGCACTAGAAAAACAAAATGAAATACTAGATGTTGTGTCCGGCTGGTTTGCTACCAATAACTTACTTTTGAACTCCAATAAAACAAAATGTATTAGATTTACTCATTTAAAGTTGTGAGGAATCTCTATTGATGAGAAAATCCTACCTCTTGAGGATTCAACAGCATTTTTTGGAATAAGCGTTGTGTATAAGTTGCAATGGGGATTTCATGTACATAAGTTAGCTAAGAAAATAAGTTAGCTCTTTGTCATACGCAAAATCAGGCAGCTAATTAACGAGGAAACAGCTAAATGAGTTTTTTATGCTTATTTTTACAGCGTAATGTCCTATGGTGTCTTACTTTGGGGTTCCGCATCCGGTTTAGACACAATATTTGTATTACAAAAGGAGGCTATACGGGCTGTCTATGGCTTTGGTCCACGTGAGTCATTACGGCATATATTTAAGCAAATAAACGTTTTAACGCTCCCGTCGCTTTACATACTTTTGAACATCATGTATGTACGTAATAATATACACCTATTTACGAAAAAACAATCCACATTGCGTCGGGACCGTGGTGACACTCTGGAAGTACCGAGGTTTAGATTGGCTAAAACCAGAAAGTCGTTTCTTGGTAGATGCATCAACTTTTATAATAAAATAGGTGACATCCATAAAAAACTAAGTATAAACAATAATTTTAAACAATTTGTAAAAGCTACTTAATGGCAAGGGCCTACTATAATGTCCAAGAATACATTGAGGACAAGGATGTGTAGAAATGACTCTTGCTCTGTACTTGCAAGACCCCTGGCTGCTGCTGATTTTATACCTAAATAAGTTTGTATAATTGCATCAAAAAAAAAAAAAATAACAAAAAGAACAAGACCGCAGAGTCTCTTGCCGGTTCCTCTCTGTGCAGATCTAGTTTAGTGAACCGGTGGTAGATTTTTTGTTGACGTTCAATAAGAGCTTAAGTTAAGCCTATATTATTATTATTATTATTTAAACTTTTTGCACAAACATTTGTGTACAAAGGCGGACTTAATGCCATCAGCATTATCTCCCAGTCAACCTTGGGGTGGTCCAGAAAAGTTAGGGTAGGTGCATTAATAACAAATTTACAACAACAGAAAAAAAAAAATAAACCAATCAAAAGATTTTCCAATATGTACATTACATATGAAATCTACCAACAAAATACTACACTAATAATATCTGATAAAACTATACAATACCATACATATATATAAAATAAAGTAAACATATTAATGCACGATGCATACACATATACACGAAGACTTACATACTCATATTTTATAAATAAATAAATATAATATATACATACTTTATATTATATTTAACGATTCAGAGAATCTGCTGACAGTTTTTTAAGGAAGTGCTCGCGAGTTTTCCTTTTAAATGCGGAGCGACTTTTAGCAGTCTTGATTTTGAGAGGCAGCGCGTTCCACAAAATAATGGACTGAACAAAGAAAGACGAGTGCATGAAACCAGTACGATGAGAAGGACATTGGAGAAGATGGTTATGTGTCGAGCGAAGATTTTTATGATGGATTGTACTAAGATATTGAAAATGAGACGATAAATAAGATGGAGTAGAAGAAGAATTTAAAAAAGAATAAAGAGTGGTTAGTGCTCTTAAGGAGCGGCGTTGGCGAATGGGTAACCACTGAAGTTGGGAACGATAGTGAGACACATGGTCATACTTACGAAGATTGAAAATGAATCGAATGCAGTTATTCAGAAGACGGTCTAGTTTATTGAGGTGATCTGCATTCAGGTCAAAGTAGCACACGTCGCCATAGTCGATTAAAGGAAGGATTAAGGACTGCACGAGCGTAGCTTTAGTTTTAGATGGTAAAAAATGTTTAAGTCTGTATAGGCAACGTAGAACACTTGTGACCCTCTGACTGACACTGGCGATTTGGTCTTTCCAGCTCAGGGTCATATCGATAAGCAAACCAAGGTTTTTCACATTCTGGCTTATGGGGATCGTAGAGTTGTTGAATATTATTGGTGGAAGATTGCCTAAATGTACTTGATTTATAATACGACAACTCCCAACAAGAGTTGCCTGACACTTCGAAGGATTGACAGTCAATCCGAATCTGTCAGACCACTTTTTTATAGCATCTAGGTCTCGGTTGATGTTATTGATCACAACGGATAGGCTGTCACAGGTTGCATGAGCATACAGTTGTAAATCGTCAGCATAAAGAAGCATATTGAATAAATATACTTTGACTTTGACTTTAACCTTATTAACGTTTCTTGAAGATGCGTCATTTTAAAACAAGCATTTGATTGTTTTTAATTGTTATAGTTTGTTTGCTTTTCGGTGAGGATAAGATTAGACAAGTAATGGAGAATATTCTAGAAATTTGATGAAAAATAAATAAATGATGTAATAAATATCAAAATTCCAGGATAAATGTATCATATATCTTTATTCGCATAGGAAACTCAGATAACCCAAATAAAAATAACATTGTACTCTATTTATTACATCTGGCTTATACTAAAATCTCAATAAAAATATAATATATATTATGTACAAATAAAATTAAGCTAAACTATATTTTATTATACTAATAGTTAAGAATAAATTAACACTTATAATTAATTAATGTCAAATATAAGGTCCGAAAATTTTACACCTAATGTGAAGGCGTAATAATAAGATTGTAAGCAAATATGTATAAGCAAATATGTAGTGGTATAGACACAATATTTCAGCGTCGATTCAATTCTGGAACAAAGGAAATAGAAAAATATACCAGAATATTATCTACAAAAATTAAATGGGTATTTTTTAAATTCGTTACTTCTCTTAATTAATATTAATATTAAGGTCTTAATTTTATGAGTAAAATGAACAAAGCTTATGTTTAACTAAGATAACATACATATAATATGTGTAAGTATAAAATTTGGCCTTTGAAAAATAGTGGTTTTATAAAAATAGGCAATGTAAACATTTTGTTTATTACTGTAAATGAAACATATTATGTAATTTAAATTGAACCCAAAATTTTTTTTGACTAGAATCGGACTATAATTGGATAAATTTACAAAGATATAAATTTACAGATTAACCAATTGTTTTAGCAACGAATTCAATTTAATTTAATAGATTATAACTTTTAAGGTCTAAAAATGCTTTCTATCCGTATTTGTGTTTGCGACCTTTATAATTATTGTATACCTATGTACCCAAAAAGCTCAGAGCAAAAAAACTTATAAAGTAATTATGTATAAGTATTAAGTAAGCTAAAGTACCTAATTATTAAATTGCTATAAAGCATTTTGAATATTTTATGCTTTTTGCATGTCAATTGGATTATATCATAACATAAATGAATAATCTTTCACATGCCATATTCTTTAAGCTAAACTTATGAAAAATATAGGAGACATTTTAAAAATATTGTTTAAAAATCAACTCCGTTTATCAGTAGATAATTAAACTCGAATTAACATGAAAAGTCTTTCTACCTTTTTTGTTTGTAGAAGCTCTTTAACTATTCAAAGATAACAATCACTTATTTGTTCGCACATATATCTTCATAACCTTTATTGTCCATTACGCACATATGTTCATGTTCTGTTCATAACCTTTATTGTCCATTATGAGAAGGTTATGAATCGGCATATAGTCATCCGACGACAGCGCGCACGGTATTCCTTAAAATATCGGCGACGAGCTCTGTTGTCTTTATGATTTTATTCCCAATCTGGTCTATGAGGGTTATGGCTGTGGAGTACGGCGGCGGTATGTCCGTTATTGGGCGCAATGTGAATTTGGTGGGCATGACGTCCGACCCCACCATTGCCCAATCCATCGGCGTGGGTCTGAAAAATCCAAATGTAAAATTATGTTACGTTCTCAATCCCATTCTTTGAGAACGAAGATTATGATAGAACGACCACTATCTAATAGTTTTTTTTTAACGAATAATTTTTATCGGCAATAGCCTTTGATATTTTCTTTGAAAATCTTTACCCTTACTTTAGGATAACATTATCCTGTGTTGTTAGGATGTTTTACAAACATAAATTTCACGCGGACAAACACCCAGAAGCGAAACAACTATCTGTGGGACACACAAATAGTTGTCCCGTGTGGGAATCGAACCCACGACCCCCGACGCCGAGGCCAATACCTTGGCAATTGCGCCACGGAGTCATCGAAACTAAACGGATGGTGGAATACTTTGAGTGGTTACCTAATCAACTTTTATTGCACGCTATGCTGTGGGTTCGAACCCCACACATATGTCCGTGAATTGATATTTTAAGACTCCCGGGACTGAATGTGAGACGTGACTTTTCGAAGCAAAGTATTGCTACTATTATATAGTTATAATAACATTAATATATTATTAAAACATGTAGAAAAAGTACGAAAAGATTGTCGCCGTTGTGGGAATCGAACCCACGTCTTCGGCATTCGCGGGCTGACGCTCTAGCCACTGAGCTAAACGGCTGATAGCCACAGCGACGAAAATCTTAACGCCTTCTTTCTACATTGTATATATTAATATATTATTTTTAGTGCTAGCGCCTCTGCACTCAAGATAAAACTTTAAATTGTAAATTTTGGTAGGATGAATATTATGAGCTTCAATTATTAGACTTTTTCATTTCAAAAGAACTCGAAGAATGATTTGGATAACAATTTTATGATGCGGGTGCAAGTAATTATCTTTTATTGCCAAAAATTATAATGGAGTGCACACGGTAGATGATGAGGGTGTGAATGATACACGATATGTAAATCATGCAAAAAGGTTTTATATCGACCATAATTACAAGTACAATTTGGTTCTTATTATTGGATAAGATCAAATAAGCATCAATTTACAAGCAAAATCCAGTGCAATTAAGAGTATGGGAGCAATAAATTGGATCGTGTTGTCAACACAAAAAATTGTTTTGATGGATTTTCTAAGATAAAAAGAACTGTTCAAATAAAACGAGTAATATTTTTTAATATATATTATTTTTAAGATTTGAGTGGTTCTTTTTATTTTCGAGGGACGGCAAACAAACGAGCGATTCGACACACACACTCCTCCAATTGGAGGAGGTGTATGCGTACGTTTCGCAAAAGTATAAATACTTTTACTGTACGGCGGTATTTTGAGGCCGATCGAGCACCTCTATTTATGCAGAAGTATGGCATGTAAGCTGTTTGCTCTTTGCCAGTAACAGTTCAGTTATCATCACTACATAGTATAAAACAAAGTAGTCCCGCTGTCTGCTTGTCCCTATGCATGCTTAGATCTATAAAACTACGCAACGGATCTTGATGCGGTTTTTTTTACTAGATAGAGTGATTCAAGAGGAAGGTTTATATGTATAATACATTGCACTGTTGCGAATCTGGAGCGGGTCGCTTGTCAATAAATAATGGACGTAGACGTGTCAAGTTTAGAGTTCAGTGAATTGTAGATATCATGAGCTATCGACCGATATCTCATTAGGGTCAAAGGAAGGATTGGTAATATAAATCTTTCCATATCACATACCGACCCTCTCTTTACAGACTAGTAAATGAAGAACGCAATCTGTGATACGGGTAGAGTTTTTTGTTTTAATTACAAAGCATACAGTAGTGATGTGTGCAAATAGGAAAATACCGTAAGTCGAAAATTTTCCTCAACTCATATGCGACTTAATGATAAAATGGTTATGCAACTGGAAGTGTACCAGTTGTTATCTGCACCTGTTACATCTAATTAAGTTCTTAATAGCTGAGATATATTCACAACGTTAAAATACCGTAAACAACTCTATGCTTGGTATTAATTGCATGTTTAATATAATATATAGATACATAAAGTTTAATATAAGTAGGTATAATTAATATATTATAGTAATATATTTGAAATTGTTTGCGAAAAATATTAGAAAATAAACTGTTAACCTGTAAGTTAACTACAGAGTTGCAGTGTATATATTTAAGTTACAGCAGAAATTAAAGATGCCTATTTAATAATGTAGCATTAAATGCGTTCACTTTCGTAGTTCAAACATCTTATGACTCAACTTGACAAATGAACGGATTGAATTTTTAAGTAATTTGTCTTTTAGTACTGCGATAAATCGGAGAATTCAGGAAATTCTCGAAAATAAGCAGGTAAGTATCTATATCTGACAAATGTCTGTAAGGCTATGATCACGAGAATTAAAACAAAAAGTTGTAATAACATTAATGTTCTGGCATTTCCAAGCAAATAATATTTTTTAATGTTCTTTAAAAGCTACAGACAGATTTTAAAGAACCGGTTTGTGTCAGGAACTGCTAATAATGTTTTTAATTGAGTTATTTAAAGCAGCTTCCAAATTTAGCTGGAATGGAGTTAAGGGAAAGAATGAATTTTGTGAGTGTGATAAAACACATTTAAACTGTTCAGCACTTTAAATGTGGCTTGGTGCCGCGGAATAGGAAATGCGTTATGCTATTAATGTATTTATTTAAGTTATTATATTATGTGTTAGGGTGTGATCCTTCTGCTGCTTTATATTGAGAAAAGTGATTTGTAAATGCTTTTCTGCTATGTAATTAAAGTTGTTTTAATCGCCATTCATATTTAATGTTAAGTATATTAATATTTTACATTTTTTATATTTTCTACCAACATTCTTTGATCTGGCATTATCTGTGATCCAAATGCTATGAAGTTAATACTCTTTTTATTTGCAACAAAATTTAATTACAAATGATTTTATATTCATTTCCCTAGTAATCCTTAGAAAAGTGTTAAAAAATTCACACCACACCACAGACCATAAATATCTTCAAAAAAGGCGAGTCCCATTTGCCATGTCTAAAAAAAACTAAAATTAATATCGGCTTTAGATTATAGGTTGCGCCTTTTCGTTAAGCATATCTCACATCCAAATTGAAATATCGCGGCAATATTTTACGTAACCCCTGATCACATTCTATTGTTTGCTTAGATAAATTAAATTGTACCGGATAAATCTAAGATCTCTTGTATTTTTGTCTTTATCGAATGAACCGTTATAGTGACTGGAAACTTAAGCTAAAAGTATGTTACATCAGTGGCCCCAGCCCCGAACGACTTTTCTCTTTTTTTATTTCGTGTTGCCGTTATTTGCGTTTTATAGCGTTAGTTAAGCCGTCGTCGACAAAAAGTTTATATTTAAAAAAAAACTCCAGATAACCTGATTGACCTTTACCGCCGAATATGGTGCGCTAAAAATTCAAAGCACCGAGTTTTAGAGGTACCGGGGGAGAGGGGAGAGGGGAGGGAGGAGGGTGTAGTAACTGCGCAGAACACCCTTTAGAGATGTCGGGGGGAGATGCTAAGGTGGGGGGAGAGAGGGTGTAGTACTTCAGATTTAATAAGAAATGTTATGATCGATTGAAACGTCAGATGAACACTCATACCTAGGTCTCGTGGTGATGGTAGGCCTCGAGGTCATTGGCCCAATGGTCGGTCGGGGCGTTGCCACAGCAGACGATGGACTGCTCATCATCAGCTCACCGTCATCAGCGAACCTAGAATATACATTACTAGCATGTTAAAATGAATCTCGGAACTATTATGTATATTAATAACATTGTTGAATATAATACTAAAGTGAATATCAGAACTGTTATGCTAACTAGATATCTAGGATCATCATCATCATTTCTAGATGTTTGAATTCACTGCTGAACATAGGCCTCCAACACAAACCGCCACCAAACACGATGCTGAAATTCGAAAGATTGCCGCCTATAACCAAAGAATTAAACGAAGTGAAAAACATTAAAATAAAGAAAAACAACTTTATTATAATTTTACGATATATCGCCTCTGCGATATATGCGAGACGCGAGAGGCGTCAGGCGCGACTATTAAAGAAATCCCACTAATTTGCCGCCCCCTAAATTTTTTCCGGGCCTACTCGGCCTATAGGTTAATCCATTGCTCTGGTATATCTGCTGCCTTAGAACTGGTGATCTGAAAGAGTGAACAATATTCCATTGGAATAGTCTCATAGGCAGGTAATATTTCATACATAGCTATGTAGATGAAGAAATATGCTCGAGCGGCGACCACAAACCCGCGTTAGCCAAACACGTAGCGTTGATAATCCTCTGACTAGGTGGATGGATCAACGATATCGTACGTGCGCGAGGCAACTGGTGGATGCAAATGGCAGCGTTGTTCCCGGAATCTTAACATTGGGCGTCTTTCAATCTTTTTTTCTTATGACCATGTTTCGGACATGGATTTGCGGTTTGATGTAGCTGAAATCTCGGGGATGACGTTAGCTAAGTATACCCATCTGTTTACTTCGCTATACATAATAGAATAGTTTAGGTAATTATATAACAACCATTACATACCTATTTGATGAATATTTAATTATTGCGAGGAGTTTTATGTTGGTGAAAATAAAATGACGAAGCTAATCAAGTGTGAGTAATTGAAAAGAGGTAATGTGCTTGGTTTTGTGTCATAAGAATTATGACTACTTTCGTTTTACAACAAATAATGGCACAATCACTGTGGGAAGTTTGGTTGCTAGTCGGTATTGTCTTACGTCTCGCTTGTACTGGATATGCAATAGAATCGCGTTGTGGTTAGCGAATAACCGATTGCTAAGCGTTACGATAATTCTAGCTCTCCTTGAATGTAATCGTTCAGTAATCGTTCCTCGTTACACGTTATTAAATATCGCATTTCATTTCCTAGTACATCGTCGGTTAGACGCAACCACGTAACCACGGATGATTAAGAGATTTCCACGGGCGATTTAGCTGCGTATACTTTGTTGTAATGTCAACACCAGTTCTCCAATAAGTAATGAAGATTTATTTTGATGACTTAGAATTTTTTTTAATACTTTATTGTTTATTTGATTTAAAAAACAATTTGGATGTGAAAAAATGTCTAACTGGTGTGCTAAAAAATCTTGTTAACATTGCTTTAATGAATCAGCGTTGAATCTCGCGCGTTTTTTAATTTCCATTCCCGACGTTATTTTTGTAAAAAAATCTCGTAAGGGGTTCTATTGTCAACGGTTTGGCTTTGTATGATTTAACGAGGCACATATAGATCTGCAAGATAAACGTACATTTTGGTAAAGTCGTTTATACAATAATACTCATTATAGAGGGAGGTACATAAACCACAAGTTTTAAATTACCCAACCTAAAATTAATACAATCTAAATAAAAGCGCAGTACGAGTTTGTAGTACGTTTAATCGTCAAATCAATCGCGTAGCATGCTTTTAAAAATCTATTCAATTAGAAAATCTACCGAAAACCTTTCGAAAAACTTCCTTAAAAGCCTTTCACCTTATAAACCATTACCTTCTATGTTTTTAGTTTCTAAACCATTCTTACCTTTTTTAACCGACTTTAAAAAGAAGAAGGATTTTTTTCATGTGTTCGTGGATAACTTCGTCGTTTATGAACGGATTTTGACGATTCTTTTTTTGTTTGAAAGCAGATATTCCATAGGTGGTACCATGATAGGGATCTGTTGATGGCATCCCAGAGAAATCGAGGACAATCCTCAAATGTTATAGGTATTGACAATGTTTATAAGTTTCCGGTTTGAAGTCGGTTTTTTTTGTCAAAAATTATAATTTTTATTTATTTTCTTCTCTATTTGTGTTCTTAATCCTTTTGCTAGAAGACATCGGGCTTACGCAATTAACGACGGTGAGTTTGATAACCAGTTTAACATATCGTGTTTTAAGGTAACTAAGAGCAGTGCCACTTTATATTCAAACTCCACGCAACCACAGTTATTAAATCCTAACGAATATGACTATAATGTCATAATCTACGGATTACTAGCGTTTGGTCGTTATTATTTCATATGACGCATGAATGTATACCGTGCGAAAATTAACTCTATCTGTGGTAGGGCCACGCAACAGTGTTCGCTGTTACACGAATGAGCTGGTCCTGCGTAACGTAACCTGCGTAACGTAGAAGTATTACACTTCTGCGTGTCGTCTGCTGAGTGAGGTAGTCGGGGCTCGCTTTATTGAAAGGTGGCAACGCATCTGCAACCTTACGGGTGTTGCAAATGTCCATGGGTGGCGGTTATCACTTAACATCAGGTGAAACGCCGTTCGTTTGCCACTTTCTCACATAAAAAATTAACAAAAAATAGATGATTTTGTATACTTTGTATATTATCCTGATGTATTTATTAACCTTCCACATTAATAATTAATAATTAAATATTAGCTGATATTAATAAGCTGGCTTTTAGACCAAATAGTAACGTATTACTTAAAGTTTCTATCGATGACTTTAAGCTTCGACCGATCCTTCTACATATTGTTTTTTTGAAATCCATAATTTGAGTATTTGTTTTGTATGTAGATGCTTAATAAAATGCACATTCATAATACTTAAAGTTAACTTAAATAACAACCTCATCTGAGGTTGTAATTTTAACTTGAAGATTCATTAACTTATTTTTTTATTATTTACTTTAAGTATTATCAGCAAACTGTTGGTGAACACGGAATTTTCAAAACTGTTTTTGTAGGTTTTATGCATATTTCATGTACTCGTACATCCTCATTTTTGTATAATAACGTTTCTGGGTTTTGATAAAATCTTAATTATGTTTTTCTTATGTATTTAACTTGATCAAATTGTATGACATTATTTATAAATAAAAGAAATAAAGACCGGCTATCATAAATTACAAGATAAAATCTAATTGTCCAATTTATGACAGCTTAATAGAATGGATTTTCGGTCTTCAGGTTATTGTCGGTGTTAATTGTGTTTATTACAGTTTCATCGTTTATTTATCGATTGTAATAATCGAAAATTTTTTTATGTGTGTATGTTGTCGCGAGCAGACGTTTCATCTGATGTTAAGTGATTACCGCCGCCCATGGACATCTACAACGTCTGAGGGCTTGCAGAGGCGTGGACAACTTTTGAAATAAGTGAGGTAACCATGGCATTACCTCACACACCAGAAAAAACGCCAAATTATCATACTTCCACTTACGATCTTCTTTGAGGCTGCTGTCAGTGGTTTCTGGGGAATGTGGCAAACTGTAAAACATATTTGACGCATAGACAAGCGCACAAGCACTATTGTCGTCATTTTAGACAGTCATAAGGAGAGTGGTTCTCTATTTATCAATAGATATACTATAAGGCGATCTTCCTTAAGACCGTAGTGTTTTCTCAGCTGATTCATGGGGCTCAGCAGTTAACGCAGAACTTAACAGGCGTTTCTTTGATTTTGATTTCCAAGAGGAACTTTAGACAAAGTTACAGTTTGGCTGTACGCCTAACCTGTTTAGTAGCAGGGGACGCAGCGGTGTAGAAGGGGCGGGCGTGGGCGGTCGAACATCGGCCGTAGTGGGAATAAGCGTCGGAGCTGGCGAAGGGCGGGAATTCGCTGGCGTAGCTGGCAACACTGACAACACGTTAGGCTGCGGTAGCGGTGGCTGTGGCGGCTGTGGTGGCGGCTCAGAACTGGACGCGCTTTCAACACCTGTGAAACAGATTTGTTAATCGTAGCAATATGTTGTAAAATATAGGTCCATATACGGTATTCATTTGCATCAAATTTTATTTAAAATATTTCCGTAGGTTAATTAAACGAGAGAGAACACGCTTGTTTTGAATTTACTTTGGAGACCTTGAGATATAACAGAGAGATTTGTTGTCGTTTGGTGCAATAGTTTCATTGTGTAATCAACATTATCACTTCATAGTATAAAACAAAGTCGTCCAGCTGTCTTTCTGTCGCTATATATGCTTAGATCTTTAAAACTACGCAACGGATTTTGATGCGGTTTTCTTTAATAGATAGAATGATTCAAGAGGAAGGTTTATATAATTCATGCATAATATAGTAAAGAAACACCGCTAATTTTAGAGGTTTCTAATGCGATGTCGAAAACAAACATTCAGCATTACACCCGTGCCTAGCCAGGGCGGGTCGCTAGTTAAAATACAAAAAACTATTCTGTTATTAGTTACTATTTTGGAACCTTCACAATCACAACTCAAACGTATGATTGTCCGTGCTGTTGACGGTCAAGGCTAGGAGGCAATAACTTATTAGTTTCCTAATGGTGACCTTACAACACCCGCCGTATTATTTGTTCTTTCTATCCTCAATCCCTTAATTGTTTTGTCACGTATACATTTCTATTTAAAAACTTCACCGTGACTCGGGTCACTATGGCTCAGGTGTTTAACTATACTATCGGGGCCATTCCAAAACGTTACAGTGAACTTACACACACACGTACCTACATACATCCAGTTTTTGTTCATTGTTATTTGAAATAAAAAAAGATTCCACAACATTGAAAAGTTACAGAATGCGGTCTCAGTAAGAAATCGTCCAATTATGGTAGAATTATTGCCACGTGTTAGCTTTTTAATAGAGGGCTAAAGAGGAAGTAAGTATGATATAAAACGAAATGTGTTTGTGACATTAAAAGGGGCACATAGTGATAATAACACTAATAATTAATTGTTGCTATTTCATAATTTTATATTGATTTTTTGTTTTTAAACGAACACATGGTTAAATGAATGTTCATGAACCTTGGACGCTGGAAAGGGTTCGAAAAGCCGGAAATTTAAAATCAAATTAAAACTGGATAAAATCCATAACATAGTTTCATTTAACCATTCCATAATTTTCTCTAAATAAGAATGCGATCCGAAGAAGAAAATAACGCGATAAATTAATTTCATATGTTTATTGTACTCTTTATGCAGACCATTCGGTTCAACTCTTCAGAGATATTATATAATTCGTTAAAACGTGAGTGTTTAAACAACAAAAATTATTCAGTTATTAAAAAGAAGTAAAAAACCTGACTGCAGTATAAAAATTATTCTTTGAAACATTTTTATCCAATGTCCCAAGGGCAACAAAGATGAATCTTTAATTGGTATATCTTTCATAAAATAGGTTCACTCCTTAAGTAGTTATGAGCGAACATATGGACGGACATACGGGTCAAATAACCATCTTTTTTGGAATCACTGCTGTACAAAGTATACTACCGGGCACAGCGCGCAGCTAATAATATCAGTTCAGTTCAACTCTGACCACTTACCACAGCGCATGTTTATAACACATCGTATCATACTATTTACCCTTGACCATTTTTCCAGTTAATCGAGTTTATTTTAATATAATTAAATTAATATATTTCATCATCTTATTTTTTTGATGGACTTACAACCAACAAATTTGGTCCTTGCAGCCGGATATGGATAATGATGATAATTCTCTTTTCAAGTTCAAAAAGATCCCGGTTCAAGTTCAAAATCATTATTATATATATTGATAAACTAATTTTCTTACCAGATCCGGAAATTGTGTTGAAATACTCGTTAGCCAGGAACACCTCGAAGTATCTCGTGAAGTCACCGGTGGGGTCCCATTTTGAAGCCAACTTAGCCCACTCATCAGGATATTCCTGTTTCAGTCGTTTTATTATTTTGACCGCTGTCTTCTTCTGACGTTCGGTGCAGCGCACGCATTTTGTCCTTAAAGCTTCCGGAAGTAATCCTGTTAAAATGATATACTTTTTAATAATATTATATCAATAGAATAGCATCTCAATACATATAACAGATACGTTGCAATATCATGAGACAACACAACTTTATCATTCAAAAGAATCCTACAAACATGCTTTTTATATTTAAACTAGTTGACCTTTTCGTTGAAATTGTCGCATAATACCGAGATCAGTCGCTGAATGGGAATATACATAATGTGCATATAAGTATTTATCAATGAAGAATAACGGTAAATTTTAGTTTACTTCGCTATCCTCCATTTAAACAAATTGTCAGTAGATGTGCAGTATTGATTTTTTATAAGAAATTTTAGACGAGTTTTTATAAAACATTAACTTTATTCTACTTGTCTATTTTCCGTCAATAATGGCAAACATAAGCTTCAATGTGGTGTTTGTGGTGTGGTGTGTTAATCATTAAATTTCATGAAGAATTATGGAAGTTATGGCGTACCGATAAAAACTTTTTTGAGAAATAATAATATAGAGATACTTTAGTAGTATTTACGAACGTAAAGTTCGTTTTGTTACTTAATAAAGAAGCCGCTTCACATATTCTTAATAATCATCTACATCAACATCAATAGCATACTTTTTAGAAGTATGCTTATCAGAAGTATAAGAATACTTTCACCCGACTACTACCAATCTTTTGCATTGGGCGGTAATCTATTTTTAGCCTGTAGCAGAGAAATTTTACATAAAGAAATTGTGTTTCGACCACTAAGTCCGGAATTAACATTTAAATTATATGTAATACAATAACATAAAGGCCTATAACTTATTAAGTGCGGCAAACTAAAGTTCTAGAAAGTTTTGAACTTAAACTTGTTATGAATGCGTAGCGAACAATTATTTTATTTCTTAAAGGACAAAATACGCAGCAGATGCAGTGAGATGTTTTATTTATGATTAATGATCGGAACGTTTTTACTGTTTATAAATACTCGTTGATGTGTTCTTGTGAGGAAAAACAAATGTCTTTTTGCGAGATCCATTTTGTTATTGATGTTTACCTTTTCAGTACGTCGCTTCATCGAGCACATAGCCCGTGGAAAGTCGTTACAAAACCGTCACAAAATCCCAAGCAACCAGAGGATTGTCGCCTATTGGCCGTTAAAGCTCGGATTGTAACATTATGTCTGACTTTAAACCGTCTATATCTCGACGTAAAGAACCTACAAATAGAGACCTTTTTTAGACCAAAGAATTGATTTTTGATTTAAAAAAAAAAAATATTTTAATTAAAAAGATTATACCTACGTTTTAAATCGTCGTTCAGCAAATATATTTTACGTCGAAATGACAAAATTTTTGTAAGAATGCAAATATGTCGACGATATCACTTGCACCGATACGTGTTCAAATTTTCATTAGGTAAAATAAAGAAAGAAAAAAAATCTAAACTCCTTATAATAAATTGAGATTTGAAAGCGTGAGGTCACACGGTCATTGGTAGAAGCAACTTTACCTTTTAAGATAACTGAATTACTAAGTTATCGTTGAATATTAATAGAGTAAATTGAATCAAGGTCTGAATAAAATCAGCAAGTCAAAATTTAGTCTACAATGCACAAACCAGGCGAAAACGCTAAATTTAACTGTTGGGAGCATTATATCGAAGGTTATGCATAACTCGCGTGGGATAAATTCTTTTGGAAAGTTTAACGTTCGGATGGTGTTGTGAAATGTCAATGTGACAGAACAGACCTTGCACCGATTATAATAGTAAATTGACATTAAACTATTTTATCCTTGCTTTTTAGTCTAACCTTCTCATAATGTCGCTTTAAATATATGTAAACAAAATTAGATAGTACAGTAATTGGCTAGTGTAAATTTTATGTTACACACAGTCTTTTGACAGCCAACATTATCATCTAACTAACTAACAGTAACTAACTACTTCCATACTAATATTATAAATGCGAAAGTAACTCTGTCTGTCTGTCTCGCTTTCACGCCAAAACTACTGAACCGATTTACATGAAATTTCATGTATTTATAAAATGTTTTATTTAATTTGCCAATATCTAAATTCTTATGATTTATATAGTCAATTGAGATATTAGGTATCGAGATGTTAGGATTTAGTTAAATTTAATCTTGATATGTCGATGGAATTTTAAACTTGATTGATATTAGGCTATTTACCCTCGCTTTCCGTTCTGGTGAGTTCGAGCTAGAATTGACTGCGGTGTTAGGATATTTAGGATATTTACGAAACCAATCGGGTGATTTGGTGGCCTTATGACGGCGAATGGTTATTCGGCCAAGGCGTTAGTTCCAATAGAATAGGGCTTTCTTCTTTCGATATTTAAAATAGCGATTCGACAGGAAGGCTTGAATGGTGCGCATCAGCCTGTCTGGCATAATGAGTGCAACCAACCTGGCCAGGAAACCATTGCCCCTGACCTTTTCTAATGTCACTGCGATGTAGCTGAAGAGCGCACACTTACTTATGATTAGAGGTTAAGGCTCCTTTAGGCTAAATATCTGCAAGGGACGGGGCAGATTCTGTCTGAAGCCAAATTGTTCGGGCGGAATAAAGGCATTGTTGAAAACAAAGTCCTTAAACCTTTTAAAAATGATGCACTAGTACAGCCTCCCCAAGTAATGGATGAAATTGATCGCTAGCTGATGATACGTTTGAGTGGTTTATTCGGCTCACGAATGCCGATGACTATTGCATCAAGCTGCTCTTTTCAGGATGGCTGGAAACAAGCACATAGCAAATGCTTGCCAATAGACAGATGCGCGGGCTTGGAAGAGCTTTTAAAACTTTATTGCTATTTAAATTATATTAATTTTCATAGTGCCATTCTCTGCACTTATATAGAATTTTAAAATTTTAAGAATAAACTATTAGTTAATTATTTCTACAAATTGTAAATTTCATAAATATTAGTATAATTTTAGTAGAAATTTAAATATAGCAAAGGTAATATCCCTAGTTATCTAATATTTTATTGTGAAATGTTATATGAAAAAGTGGTCCTTTGCTGTAAGGGAAACACTAAATTTAAAAGTGGCAGCCCCCATTTCGATAGCACGGTCCTCCTCTGAGTGGTGAAAAGAATGTCGTGTTTGCGTGTCTATATTAGAGCTTTAGGTTGTCCGGTAAGGCTTCATTTTCAGCGCAGGCAAGGCACCATATGTAGAGCTAATAGCTATGGGCAGTATGGGTTCGCAGGACACTAATTTTATATTCCGGAATATAATTACCAAGGCAGTGTGCGATGATACTTTATTTTTGATCCTCGGTCGCAGTTGACTTTTTAAATAAAAAAATATCAGTACAATATCGTTGTTTCTCACGATATAAAGTCCTTTAACCGAGTTCTCACACATGTACTCTTGCTTTTATATAAAAAAAAAGGTGGGCAATGACGCGGTTATGCAAAAATAGCGCTATTTTTACAACGGACGTCATCAAAGTACATTGTTATTCTAGTGACACGAAATGACCGCCTGCCTAGCATTTTAATAATTTCCGTATTTTATTAACAGTGAAGCTTTTAATGAATATAATGAAAAAAAAAATTTTTTTTTTAATGAGAAAACATTTTCATTGGTATTATTAATGAAAACAAAAATTATTTGAGATTAGATTAGTAGACAAGATAACGATTCCAGTATTAGTAACATAACAAACGGTAAAATAAAGCTAAATTTCCGTTTACCTTTTCTGGGTTTATACTAGATCATTGTAATACGATATCGACCTTTATTGCTATGCAGTGGATGTCCTAAACACTTCGGTTTACTTAGAACGTTGTGATTCATTTCATGCGAGAAACGTAAACATCCAACATAAGCATCCGGAAATGTTTGTCGATTCAAACATTCTGATTTGTGTATTATTTAGTAGACAAGATAACGATTCCAAACGGTAAAATAAAGCTAAATTTCCGTTTACCTTTTCTGGGTTTATACTAGATCATTGTAATACGATATCGACCTTTATTGCTATGCAGTGGATGTCCTAAACACTTCGGTTTACTTAGAACGTTGTGATTCATTTCATGCGAGAAACGTAAACATCCAACATAAGCATCCGGAAATGTTTGTCGATTCAAACATTCTGATTTGTGTTTGTTACATCAACACAAATAAATAAAGCCACAAGCAATGTTTATAATGAAAAAACATTACTTCATTAATGTTCATTAAGAGTTCAGGTAACTGCTACAATTATAATAACATAATTTTCGCAATTCTTTCATCCCAACTTCTGAGGCTGAAATTCACAAAGTTAGTCTGGCGAGCAATAAAATTGGTAAGACGTAGGCAGTTTATTAAAACATTTACCAATAAAAATATATGTGTAATATGTGAGTAACAAAAGAAAAATAACTAATAATTTTATTCCCTGTGCCAGTACTCTTTGTTGTAGAGTAATAGTTAAATTAAATAAATTTCAATAATAGGAAAATCTCAAAGTAGTTATTGGTTTCCATGGTAATACCGTGAACTTGGTTGCTACCAACCAGCATGATACATATGCTACCAACTTCACCATGTCAGTGTCGTTAAAATCGTAAAAATAGCTTCATATTTTTGTATGCCATATTAGTGTTTGTCATGTTTTTTAAAACGCTCTGCAATAACTTCATAAAGTTTTTAATTAAGTACAAAAAATTTAAAATTACTATGTCGGTGCTCTTGGTAATTAAGCACCGACAGGAAACGGATGTATTTATAACTTTAATAAGTACTATTTATTTATTTCTGTTTCGTCTGGTGAACGAGGTGATCGGCGGTCACCTTAAAGGTTTGCTAAGCACCTAAACCTTGCTGCCGCTGGCATCCTTAGGTAGCTTTGATTACTGTTCTAAATAAACTTCTGATCATCGTGAGCTTGGACACCAAAAAGGATAAAAGTACAAAAATAAAGAAAATAATTTACGGTTTATGTTATGATCACATAATAGCTGATAATTTTTTTACACTGATAACTGGAATTTTTAAAAGTTAACTAGAGAAC